AAACAGAACTCAGAACAAGTAAAATTCAGACCTAATCCATCAGATTTATCTATGCTGTCTCACGTGGTAGTTGTTAAGACACTCCACTGAGAGAACAGATGACCTAACACAGCTTTTTTCTTACAGTTGAAAGAGGATCTCCTGTAAGATCTGCTTTGCTAATTTTAATGAAATTTGCTTTGTGATTGCAAAATGAGAAATCTTCTGTTTCAGTACAACATTCAGTACAGCACAAGCCTTCACTTGCCTAATGAGCCTGAGCATTGATGCACTGCTGCTGCTTGACCATTTGGAAAAGGTGCCAACATCTAGAACTTCCAAGTTTTGTTATATTAAAAGGGTTTACTCAAATCACCCCCTTTTTAAAAAAAAGGCCAGAAGTTAAATGGCTTTTTTCCTCATTCATTACAAACCCAAAGTTAAGGAATGGTTAATATCATGATACCATTAGAGAGAGCTGTGTAGGGAAAGGCACCTGTTCTTAAATAGTGTCTTGATTTAAGGTTATTCAAAAATGGTTACATAGGGCACATGGGCACATCACCTTTCCAATCATCTTCTGTGGCACTCCTATTTCAAATGGTGAGCCTACTAACATGAACAACAGCCTGGATGCATTGTTTGTGATATTACCCCATTCACAGATTTAGTATGCATGCTAGCTGGAATGGAAAAAATAAACATTCATTGCCACCCCACAATTTGCAGTTTATCATGTATGGCTATCCTTTTCACATTCTTTGTGTGACTGGGATGCAATTATTCTCCCAGCTCTAGTCTGACAGTGATTAACATGTACAGAATTAATTACATGCAAGTATTTTGAAGCATGTCTCACTAACAACTCATTACAAGACAACAAAAAAATGAAACATGAATAAAAACTCCAGTACTTCTAGAGCACAGCTCCTCTTTAAAGTGGCTAGGTTTTGTCTTAGCTACCTAGATCACAACAGTGCTTTCAGAGCTGTATAATCTGTATTCCCATAGGTTCCCTGTGTTCTTATAGGGAGGTCTACAGAATTGTTGAGAATACATAGCTTTTTCTGGGTGAACCTAGGAGTCTGCTCAGCTAACACCTCATCAGCTTTTGAAGAAAACAAGAAAAGGCTGGTATGTAGCTTTTTAAACAAGTGAGGTTCATCTCCTAAGAGATGTAACTGCAATGACAAGGAAGGGGAAGAACCTACCACAGGCCACTGCTTCCTGAAGAGTCTCTCCAGCCTTGGTCCCAGAAACAAGTTGCTGTGGTAGAGAGAAAGGTGACAAGCCAAATGATGACCTGAGGATGCCTCATGCACTTGGAAGTTTGAAGCCTGCTTTAATACTGATCTAAAAGAACAAAAGGTGTTTGGGGAATGTTTTAGGAGACAAATCTGGGATCATTGACTTCCTGCCAAGAACTCTGCCCAGTGCTCTCCTGGCAATCTCTCAGAGGGGCATCGGAGCTCGGACTGCAATAAATGGAGCAAAAAGCAGTGAATAGGTCAAAGGGACTGCTCTCTGTGGCCAGGTCTGTTGAAAACAGATGTTGTTCTAGGTTAATACATTTACATTGCAGTTTAAAACAACAGCTTAGACACTTACACAACTTCAGTTAGGATGACCTTAAGGTGCTTTTTTTTTCAGTTAAAAAGAGCTCAAGAGCTATAACTAAAACATATAGACAAGTTTAGGCAGCTTGAGTTCTGTAAAATGACTACAGTTAATTTCTGAAACGTATTTTCTTTTTTATTCACATCATCAGTGATGCCATAAGGCAAAAGATTGCCAAAGAATAAAATACAGTTTAACTAGGATCCTTTATAGTAAATAAATCCATAGAGCATGTAGTACAGGACTCACAGACCAGTGCAAAGGAAAGCTCACACTTACAAAAGAGTTTGTTCTGTAATTCTCTTCCTCTTTATTAAGTCAGAAAATCTCAGTCACTATAATAAGACTCCTTTGAAAATCTCAACAAAATTACATTAGCCATATTCTAAATATTGGGAAGCTAGACCAAGTTAAAAATACAGAATTCATCCCAGCCAGCACCAGCCGGCCGAGCTACTGGAACTTCTTTCCAGCAGAAGAAAGAAAATACTACATACATTCAACACAATTTAGTATTTAACTGAAAGCTACTACGGTTTGTTGAATTCAAGAGGAAAAAGTAGTATGAAGTAGAAACAAGTTTCTGTAAATATGGGCCACCAAATACTCAAACATTCCTTGGGTCGCCTTTGAAGATTTGCTAACTACTTTAAACAGCTATATGTACAGTCAGGGATCACCCTGATTTAACTTAATGGGTATGGAGAAAAAAAAAATCCTTTAGAAACATTTTTCCTTGCTAGGAATTGTAACAACCACATAGAGCCCAGTATCATCATCCCCAGCATGAAGATCTTACCAGCAAGCTAAAAACCTTGTAGAGGCAAAAGGATACATATCCACAAAGCACAGAAGAGTCTAGACTGAACATTCCCTGTGAGACTGAATGCAGAATCATCAAGGTTGGAAGAAACCTTTAGGATCATCCAGTCCAACCATCAACCACCCCAGTCACCCCTAAACCATATCCCCCAAGTGCCACATCCAGATGCCTCTCAAACATTTCCAGAGTGGGTGACTGCACCACATCCCTGGACAACTTATTCCAATGCCTGAACACTCTTTCAATTATCTTTTCCTTCCTGATATCCAGTTTGAACCTCTCCTCTCCTCGCACAACAGAAGGTAATTTCCTCTCATCCTTTCACTTGAGACATGGGAGAAGAGGCTGATCCCCACTGGGCTACACCCTCCTTTCAGGTGGTTGTAGAGAGCAATGAGGTCCCTCAGAGATTCCTTTTTCCAGACTAAACACCCCCATCTCCCTCAGTCACTCTCGAAAGACTTGTGCTCCAGGCTCTTCACCAGCTCTGTTGCCATAAAAGAGACATTCAAACCACACTGCTTAGAGCCCCACTCTCTCAGGCAGTGCTTTTGTGAGGGATTTCAGTGGCATCAGCCCGTTTCAAAGCAGGGCTAAAAGGGCTCATGTAGCTCTGACCAAGCAGTGAATATTACAGAGACTGCTAAAATAAGCTGCTAAACTCTGACAGTGACGACAAGTAAATATCACAATATCTCTTTCCTAGATGCCCACTGAACCTAGAAAAAACTGAATATCCTTTCATGTCTATTGTATTTATATATGCTATATATATGATATATCAATACAGTGCATATATCATATATAGAGAGATATTATATATCATATCTAGCTATAGAAAAATCACATGCACATTTCTTGCAGGCAATTGACAAAGGAAGAATTCCTGGTTTTTAATTTTTCAAATTTAGTAGACTTATTTTTAGTCCTGGACAAAACTGATATAACATCCTTCCACACTGTTCTTTCTGACAACAATTTTTACAGTAGTGGTGCCGAATTTGTTGTTGTTAGAACTTTGGTATGACTCAAGAGGTACTGAACAGCATGTCCAGTTTGCATTGCTATCCAAGTCGGAAGTTCAGCTTTCACTGCCTGACTGCTTCTGTTAACTTCATCTATGGCTAAATCATTCAATTTACATTCAGGTTAATCTCTTTTTTGGAAAAGACAGTGTATTTGCAAGTACAGGTGTCTCATGAAGACAGCAGCTAGAAAACAAAGTATGCTGCGCAGTAATGAGGAAGTAGAACGAATGTGTTTGAAAAGGAAAGATTGTATTGTTCTGACACTACAGGCCTGGCTCTCCTCTTATTGCACAAAGTTTAGACTGGCATAACTCTTCTGACTCCTACTGGCTCACCTTTGATTTACTTTACTGGTAGCAACAGAGGAATCAGGGTGAGTATTTGCTACACTTGACAATCACCAAGGTAAAGGCAGTTTTAACTATGTTGTACAGGAGACTGGAGCCCAAGATCTAGTATTTTGCTGAGACTGGTAGCTGAACTGGGTATGGGAATATTTGGATAGTAAGACCTAAGGAAAAGTCAAGTTGCATGGCAACCTTCTCCCTCAATATCCAAATATCAGATTTGTAGCTTTAAATACATCCTGAAATATAATAAAAAGTGCAAGAGTAGTTTAAATTCTAATACAGTGTTTATCTTATTAGGTAATAGATTGCTAGAGATGTAAAATACACATATGCATAAAAGCTTATACCATGATCTGCAGTGCCATGCTATGCTTAAGTGTTGAAGTTTTGCATTTCACTTGCAATTCATGCTGTGTTTCTTTGGTTTTCACCCCTGCTATTACGTGGAAGAGCACCTGCTTTTGCTTGTAGTAATGGGGCACTTTATCTCTTTAGAAGAAACAAAAATTTGGTACTGGGGCTCTGTGCTCTTGATGCAGATGCAGAAATCCCATTAATATTACTAGGAAAGCTAAGGACAGGGGAGAACATACCACATTTAGATTACTGTACAGTTCTGCAGTCTCTTACATTTAGCCAATACTTCCAACAAAATAGCCCATAATAAAGCTTGGAATCAAAGGCTGTCTTTTGTTTGTTACCAGTAATGCCTATAACTCTGGGCTCTCATAGCCAAGCAAGATCCATACTGTTACAGTCACGTTTATATCCACATTCAGCTTCCTTTTATTAGAAGTAGAATACTGCACTTTATATCACAAATGTATAAAAAATATGGCAGATAGTGTCATAACAATACTTTTCTTTTAAATGAGTATATTTAAAAAACAGACAGTTATTTTCCATTTATATATATATATTTATATATAGAATAAAATACTCCTGATGCAATATATAAATGTTACTGTTAGTTTTTTATAGAAACTACTGTAGCTGTTGCACTGCTTCACAATGTTTCAAACAGCTCAAAATAACTTTACATTATAACATAAAAGATATGATTATAACAGTACGATATTAGGTCATCATAAATAAATATTACAAATCCTATCAAATATGGAAGTTTAAAAAACAAATTTAAGACATACAATTTAACTTTAAACCCTTTACAGGGATACACTTTTATCACATAAACCCCACTGTTTTAACTAGGCAGCAAAAAATGTAGTAAGGGCATAGGCCTAGACAATGTTTTCACCCTTGTAAGTGCCAATACATACCAGAAGTCTCCCAGCTTTCAGACAGAGATGTGCACTAAGCTGGAATGTAAATGAGAGAAAACGACAATGCATTTTTCTCCCTGACCGGCACACTCTGCCTGGCGTCCAGTGACATTTCTGATGCCTGGTAACTCACAGTTCCACTCGTGTTCCCGTACCATCCCTGACTCTCTCGTGGTGCTGAACAGCATAGCTCCACATGTACATATTGCACACCTGTATAAAGCTGAAAATGCAGTCTTACCATCAGCAGAACCACCGCTCCCCCACGCCGCTCTCCACGCACACGGGTCTGCGTGCTGGAGCGCCACTACAAGGCTGTCTCTTTGAGATCGTTCAGGTTTGGCATTCGCGAGCGGTTCGTGCGGCTGTAGGTGTGCCCGTTCTGGCCGCTCTTGGAAGGCAGCTGCTCCGAGTAGGGGGGCCCGTCGCTCACGCTCCTGTTGACGGGGGACACGTGCCAGGTGGGCTCCAGCTGGCTCGGGATCTGCAGCGTTGGCCGGCTCTTGGCCTGGGGCTCCGGCCGCACGTTGCTGCTGCCGCTGCTGGAGCCTTGACTCATGGGGTGGATTCGCACTTCAGGAAAAGAAGCTTTGGCTGGCTGGCTGGGTAAGGGCTGGAAGCGGGGCTCGGCGGCGACAGGATGGTTTGAAGAGAGGTGTAAGAGCTTCCGAAGAGATTTTAACGGCTGGCTCTGAAAGACACGCAGAAAAGCTCCATCATATCAGACCTCCCATAAAAAAGCTGTGCTATCCTAAACTGAACATCTTAAACTTCACAGGACTTCTTCACTTTTAGTTCATATTTGTTTGATATATTTTATTCCAAGCTATGGCTACACACCTGAGAAAATGTCTTCTCATCACAGTCCAATCTATTAGCTACCTGAAAAGATGGAAGCTTTTCTCCCTCAGAGAAAAATTGCTCCCATCAATTATTTTATCCTTATTTCCTTTGAAAATGCAGGCACAGACAATTGCATTAGCTGTCCATCTGTCTGCTATTAACTTAAGATCATCAGCCACATTTTATGAGAAACAGATTTCAGAAATACAAGTTCTTAAAAATGTTGTGAACATAAATTAGGGGTTGGAGTGAGTCTTGAGTAACCATCTGCACTGAAACAAGGTCTGGCAGAACTCAGAAGTTACATATTTTGTTTGCTGGCAGCTGGGTGATAGGCAGCTCTAGTCTCCCCCAGCTTCTTTCACTGGTGAGCAGGTTGAAGGTGAATGGTGATACAGGGTTACTGAAAATGGGGAGCAAGAGCCTGGGGAAGCCTGAGTTCACAAAGTGGTATGAAAGCAGCCTTGTTAAATTCCACAGCTGACAGTGCAACTTGTTTCTTCAAACACTGCAGCTGCAACAAACCCTCTTCAGTTCCCAATGTGACAACAATGGAGCATGGCACTGACACTCCCTCCCAAACACTGCCCACTGAGCTGGTTTTAGAACTGGAGAAAATAAAGTTGCACTAATGCAGTGCTATGCTCCAAAAATGTAGCCTGCTGAAACTGCAGTCTGTGCCAGCCACACTGTAACGTGGCCTCGATGCTTTGGTGACCACATCAAGTATCAAACTCTGCAGAGCAGCAGCCAACCCTCAAGATTCACCATTCCTTACAGAGCTGACTTGAGGGCTTTTGTACAGCACTGCATCGCTACCATGGACGTGCACTGGAACACTGCCTGCCTGTAATACAAAAGCATAACTAATATTTCAAAGGGCTCAAAGACTGACACATTAATCTCTCTTTTCCTAGTCATTCATGTTCACATTTTTAAAAAAATTATGCAGGACTGCAGGTACATCCAGTGAGCAAGGAATTAGAAAGCTGGGAAACAATGTCAAATGCAATTCTTCTATTCACCAGAGAAAAAGCTGTCAACATACATCAGTGATATTCATATATAGGGAATTGATAATGCCACTTACATGAGGCTGGATTTCTGTCATCTTCTCAGGATGCCAATCCTTCTGCCTGCTGCTCTGGTGATTGGAAGAATGAATGGCTTTCTGTAATGCCAAGAGATCCTGACCTTCAGTATTAGGCATCTGCAACAAAATATTGAATACTGGTCTCCTAGTATTTTCTTAAGATAGCTGTAAATAATTTCCCACAGTTAATTACAGAACAAAAGTGAAGCCCATTACTGCAGCAGAATTACAATGACCTCTCAATAATTCTCCCCATAGTAAGAGCAAGTGGCTGTGGACGTCATGCAGATTTGCTCTACCCTTAGCCCTTAAAGCATTCACATGCTGTTAGTGTTATTTGCTGTAAGAAAGAGCAGTTAAACAAGGCCTCAAAAATAAAATTAAAAACAAAACATTGCTGAGCCTCATCTTCATTTAAAAAGCATTCCATACTGCAGTTAAGACCATGGATCAGTTCTATAAATTTGCTCCAGAGTGAAGCAGACCAAAATCCCTCTAAACTCATCTCCTGACTGACATCACAAAACCAAGAACTTTCTCTATTCCCATCTTTCTTCTCCTCCACAAATATCCTAAACTAAAGCAAAAATTAAGAAACAGATGAAACTTTATGGCAGAAAGATAATTTAAAACTTACATGTAGCTTTTTATCTCATTTCAAGAATTCTAAGTAAAAAGAGGACAGTCAAAATATAATCTATTTTTAATACAAACTGTCTTTTATCATGAACAGTCAGGACAAACAAAAATACAACAGACGCATGAGCTAAAGTTCTTTCCAGATAATCTATTGTTAGCATTTGATTTATTTAAATTTATATATAAAGGAGTAGTTTGTATAAAATTATGTATTTACAATATAGTTATAAACCAAACCAGGTTGATTTCTTTCCTGAATGAAACATAATGAGACAGTTTAATTTTAAACATACACAATTTCACAACTAATTCCCTTCCTTAGTCTTACTCCCAAGGCTCATTCTCTCTGGAACTGTTTATGTTACATTTTCACTGTATCAAATATTATTAAAAATTTTCTTAGGCATAATCTGTTTCAACAAAACTGCCAATTTTACTTAAATTTATTGAACTGGCCCAAGATACTTAACTGGCATGAAGAGGAAGTTATACCATGAAAATAAACCACATGCTGCTGTAGTCAGTAAAACAAATTTACTGGAGCATTTTACAGTGTTACTGTACTTAAAAATTAATACCATTGGTAGAGTGACTACAGGAAGTTTTTTCAAAGAAGAACTATGCTTTAAATTATTCTTTGAATTAAAAAGAGGAAAGAGGGATTTCTTGATGCTCGGATTCTCGCCGTTGGTTGAGTCTGTCTGCAATATAAGACACAAAAACTAAATGCATAATATTTCAATTCAAGAGATCTGCCCCTTACTAAATTAACTTTTTTTTTTTTTTTTTTGAGTATTCAACAATACATGTTATCAAGCCTATAATTTGCTTCTTGAAAATACAATAATGATTGAAAAAAGCCTATGGAACAAATTCAAGGAATTCAATGCATAGAAAGTATGTAAAAAAAAGATCAGCACACCTATTCTTATATCCATGTTCATCAGAAATACAGAATGTGTTTATTTCAAAGGCTTTTGGAAATAACTGGTGGCTCTTGTTGACTTTACTGAGCTTAGAATTAAATCCTGTAACTCTGGCAATCATTTGTATTTCTGATAATGACCTAAAGCAGTATGACATTTCTTAATTTTTATATAAAGAAAATATTAAAAATCCACTAACAATAACAGGAGTTGGTTTCAGAATGAGAAGTTGATAGTTACTCCAGGAGGGGGGGGAAAAAGCCTTCTATTTTTAACTTGCAGTAAGAGCTATGGATCTAGGATGAATTATTTCAGTATATGCCATTAGCAACTTCATGTACAGCTGCAAGTACACTGGCTGTTTTATTTTAATTTATGGAGCACAACCAAAGAGCTTACCAGTAGACGAATGAGCAACAAACAGAACTATAAGGTACTAGAACTATAAATGGGTCTATTTCCCCCCTGCTCAGGTTCAAACAAGCAGAGGACACATATATTGTGCCTTGCACTTTCCTGTCTATCAGAAGAAATCTTTATTATGCAATAGAGTTATTATTTGACTAAATACAATGACAAGTGCACTACCAAAAGCGTGGGCTTTCAAACAGCTTTCCCAGCTCCTAGATTCCATACAAGTTAATGAAAATCAATAATTAGCATAGCTTATGTTCAGGAACTTTATGGTCAGAAGAATTTCCTGTTTCAAATTCAGTAAATTAAAAGGGAATGAAAGCACTGCTAAGAGAAATGCTCACCTGAAACTTTTTTTCCAAAGCAGATAATTTCTTCTGACCCATAGCTTGAAATAAGTGCCAAAATCTGCAAAACTCAGACTCCTCTGAAGATAGTGCCTACTGTCACTGTGTACAACCCTCATGGATATCAAATTGTTTGGTGGCAGATGACACCAAATCAAAACTGTGATTCTAGCAATCCTCAAAACCTTTTGCTACATTACTAAAACACTTCAAACGATGAAAAGGAGAATGGATAACAACAGCTCTACAAAAACAATACTGCAAAGAATTCCCATAACAGGCAGTAACAATTGCTAACCCACCAGGTACTGCACCTGGAGAACTCCAGGGACAATGATTCATGGGAACAACCTGCAGGAAGAAGTGCCTGAAGGGATTAATTCTAGGCTATTCGATATTTTAAGAATGATATTACTAAGATGTCTTCAATCCAATTTCAGGTATCTTTTACAACTCCTGTGACGATGATCACCAGCAAAATGAGACTTGCCAAAGGATATCAGAAGTAAATCATAGCTAGCTTTTATGTGCTTCTTAGCTCTGTGACAGTCCCCAGATCTAATTTGTTATTTCTTGCTGAAAGTCTGTGTTTGAGTAAATAACTGGAATTTCATATTTGTAGGACTCTACATGAATTGTAGGTCTCAGGAAAAAACCTTGGGTAGTAACAAGCTGTCTATTAAGACTTTTAATAGGAATTCATAGAAAACATTATATGTGTAGTTGAAGAGCTAATATTACAAGTGCTGTGAACACCTTTTACTACTAACACCAAATCTGGTTCTGAATTGAAGGCAGTAATTTTATGTTGTGCTGGAAGATCCTAAAGACTGTCCCAGTGCTTGTTTGGTAGATGTCTTCAACCAACAGATGAAGAAGAACAAAGAGCAGTGTCTGAGCCAGACACTTGTACACACACCAGTGGTACAGTCTATGCCTAGATACTGTCCTGGTAATCAGCTGCAAAGAGAAATTAAAGGAGGTTTTTCCGGCTCTGGTTTGATCCAAAACTCAAGTAGATCTCAGCAAGTTTCTGGCTGAGGATGAAAGAGTTGTATCACTATATTATTTCACTAATTTATTCATCTTTCTGTGAGATACCACCTCTAAATAGCAAACACAATTTTTTCCCTTCTCTCTCTCTCTTCCATTCTTCTCTACCCCTCTTTTTAAGAGTGAGAAGAAACAGGAGTTAGTATTAGATATAAATCTGTCTTAGCTTGTAATCAATGATGGTTTTGGTAGCTACAGATCAAGGAGCTTTTGATTTAGGTGTTTTGTAAAATGCCAGATTTTGAGAGGCAACACAGTCCAGTATGTATTTCTTTCACACAGTTTAATGTGAAGGCAATCAATACACCATCCATCAGCTGAGCTATTGGAGTGTTGTCTGCCACCATGTCTGCATGGCTGGAATCACAGTACAATATAGCAATGCAAATTTAACACCTTTTTTTTTTTTTTTTTCCCCCTTGAAAATGCATTACTGGAACCAATGGCCTTAGGTGTTATCCTTACATGGACATTTTGGTATCAAACAGTCCCAGAGCTGTAATGTAGGCATTTAATTCAGTTGTTTAATACAAATGATCATATTTGAGCTGCATACAGGTATGAGGGTGAACGAATTCAGAAGGAGAGGTAGATGCCATTGCTGTAAATCACCCAGCAGGAAGGTGAGGAGCATTTCTGAGTGCTAGTTAATATACATATGCACATGTTCCACACAGTTCAAAGACATTTTTAAAAATCCAAAACAATAAAAAGTGTGGTAATCACTCCCCTCTCCCAGTTTTCAATAGAGTAGCCCTCCACCAACTCTCAGTCCTGTCACCTCACTCCTTGACAGTAAATATTTTCATTAAGTCACTCCCCTTTGCCAGGAGTAAGCATGGTTTACTCAATTCTGAGAATCTTCAAAACTATAACTGCATTTAAACTTACAGCAACATTACAGTTTTAAATATTTTAATGTTTCCAGAGCTGTCATTTAAGAATGAGATTATTTTTAGGTTACTTCAGTTCTTAGGGATATCTTTATTATAAAAATTTGTGAAATATTAGTATACCACTACTTTCTGATAAAAGAAAGTCCTTTCTCCCTCCCAAAAATTTATGAAAATGTAAAAACATATGAGACACCAAAGACTTATACTGAATAACAAAAGCCACAATCCATTCCCTCAACAAAACATAAAACACTTAGGAATGGTTAAGACACATCATCCTTATTCCAGTCATGGAATGCAGCAAGAAGACAGAGGCTGTTACCAAGACACTTCCATGAAAAAGACTGGAAAGAATTCTCATTTGTTACAGTCTCATTTTCTCTGTATGGGTGCCTGAAACTATTCAAGCTCTGGGGACATGCAACAATGAAGTTACTATTCTTGGAATGGTATCACCATATCCTGAAAAAGAATTTGTTGCAACATCATCTTAAAACTTGCATCAAAACTGGCTCTCAAAAGGTCTGAATGGAAACAAAGGTGTGAGTTTGAATTTCTTCATTAACTAGTCCTAGTAAGGACTAGTAAGTGAAGAAATATTTGAAAAGGCAGAAAAATCAACCCCAAACAGGAGAAGAATTTGACTTTCATATAGTGAAGAGAGAAAATAAAAGAAGTGCATACACACACACAATCATAAATAATGCGAAGGTACTGTACTAATCTAGCATTATTAAAATGGTATAATTCAAAATAAATAAAATAATTCTTCTACCAGAAATGCTGCATACTTACATTTTGAGATTTCTTCTTTTTCTTTTTTATTGCCCTGAAAAAACCTTGCTTTTCTTTCTCCTTGAGCTGTTCTGAGTGACTGTTAAGGTTTTCAGGACTTTTCCTAAATATGAAATAAGGTATTGTAAGAGAAATTTTATTATGGTATTACTTTGTAAATTCTGTGCAATACTGAGATCTGATGCCAAAGAATGTAAATTATTGATTAAAGTAAAAAGATACTTAAAGTTTTAGCATTCATTGGTTCCAGGGTTACTACACAAATACCAGAGAGACTTATTACAAGGGATAGGAGGTACACAGTGTTAGGGTAAAATGATTAGTTTAAACCAATGAATAGTTATTTAGGGAAAAGGAAAGCATGCATGTGTTCTTTTAAGTCAGAATTTAATATTCAAATCAAAATATCACACGCAAGGTCTTTTAGGAAAATGAAAAGCATATCTGAGAGAACATACAAATGGCGATGAGCTATCAAAGCACAGGTCCAGTTTATCCATTGCTTGCTGGAGAAGCAGGAGTTGCAAAGTTGGCCAGAGAGAACCACTTTCAACTGCACTTCCTGACCCTTGCTGACATGGTTCCAAATCTATCATCAGGGAAGCTGGGATCTACTGTTGTCCATTTCACCTTAAAACCTTCCATTAGTTTGCTATGCATGAGACAGTGCTGGCAAAAGGAGGTGACCCAAAAATGGAACAGGTGACTTGCCTGAAGACTGAACTTCTGCCTTTTAACTCTTTATTTACACGTCTGAAGCAACTACAGCTGATAAATAACACGTTACTTTCAATATACACAGTATACCATGTACGTAAAGTACTTATACAGGGTAAAAAGATGGTTTACAAGGACAGTGGTGGGCATAATTGAATTCAGTTCTAGTGCCCTTTAAAATAGCTTGAAAATTGAAAACGGTGCAGAAAAGCACCACAAAAACATTTTCAGCGATTTCAATCTCTTTAGTATGTTAAAAAACACACTCAAACCAGCTCAGATATTTAGTTTCCTTGATCACGACACAGAACTACTTATCCAGAAAGAAATTACAGAATACTAGAAAATCTTGGACTTAACAGGCAAAGATATTACAAGAACAAGTAGGTGGATGATGTAGCCTAAGAAGTCATATTAGAAATAAGGCACTGATTTTCACAATAACATCATTAACTGCCAGAAAAAACTCCTTAGTGAAGTGCATTTCCCATCTTTGACATTTCAAATCAGGACCTAATACTCATCTGGGAGAAACACAGCCAACAGGTCTGCTGTCTCTGGGCCTGGATCCCAGAGGATGGACAACATTTAGTAGCAACTGACATACAGAAACCGACATACTGAAATCCCTTTTCACACTTAAATTGCATGAAAACAAAAAAGAAATTGTCTTGATGGAAAACCTAAATCAAAGCCACTGTTTTAAGGGCTCTGTATGACAAATAGGAACAGCTTTTCTTGGAGCGACTGTAATGTAGCAACATTTAACTGTCTAATATAGTTGTCACTGGCTTCTAATTCTGGCTTTAAATGCCATGCTATCAGCTGGTGATTCAGCTGCTACTACATGCCAGGCTGACTTTTTTTTTTTTTTCCCCAAATAAATGTGAAAAACATAATTGGGGTAGAAATCACTGGCGTCATCCTCCTTATTGATAAAACCATCTTCACTCTGATAGGTGGTATCAGTTCTTCAATTTCTACACAAAACCACCTCAAGCTTGAAATGTTACCTGGCTCTAAATGTAAATGCATGCAGTGTTTAAATCCTGCAATAAAGTGCAACTATTCATTAACAGAATGGTCTTAGCAAAAAAAAAAAAATAAAAAAAAAAAAAAGATAAAAAAAAAAAAAAAAAAAAAAAAAAAAAAAAAAGTAGAAAGTATGGTAGAAATTTTCCCAATTTAAATTTTCGAGAACTTATATCTAGACAATTTCTACACAAAACCACCTCAAGCTTGAAATGTTACCCGGCTCTAAATGTAAATGCATGTGTTTAAATCCTGCAATAAGTAGAAAGTATGGTAGAAATTTTCCTAATTTAAATTTTTGAGAACTTATATCTAGGTGCAGAAATTACATTCAGGTGCATGACAATATATATTTAATGTGGACATTACAACAATGTGGACATTACTACAGGAAAAAAAACCCTCTAGTTTAATGTAATGATTATACTTATAATAGGTATTTTAAATATACTGGATTGCTAAGGATTCCTGTTGCTGTCATGTCCCTGTACTTGGTACTACTCCAAGTAGTGTGACAGGAGTAAGGCGTTATTATACAAGTCACTTAAAGCACCAAGGAGAAAGCCAAAGAGTAAAGACTACTGATAGCTTTAGATTCAGTGAACTCAGGAATCTGGCATAACAGACAGAACACCTGCAGAATTATTTACTAAATTATTTTTACTTGATTTGTTAGAAAAGTTGGAGGAAAGCATACACCCCAAATATTCTGCTTGTACTCAGAAATTCATGTAAATGGGGCTAAGAATCTTCTGAGCCTTTCCCCGAAGGAGCTCCTGTGCATCCACAGCTGCAAGCATATCCCAAACCAGTCCCAATGCAAATTATCAACCTGATAATTGTTGTCCACTGAGGAACCAGTGTCAGATCATAAGCAAGACCCCAGGAGGTTACTTTACACTGCCCTTTAAAATTTTTCAGTGTCTTGCCATAGCTTTTCTATTACAAAGTCTATTCCAAAATGGAGATGCTATTTTAAAAGGTGAAGTTAATCTTCAGAGTGAAGCCTGGAACAATTTTTGCCATACTTTTAGACAGAGATTCACTCAAGTGTGATTCTTTTCTTTGGCCCAGTGAACCTGGATGAGAAAACTGCTCTCCACAGCAGCTGAGCAGACAGGAGAGAAATGAAATTCTGCACCATCATTTCCTCTTTATGGCTACAGTGACCAGAGAGAATTGGAAAATAAGGGGCTGAAAACTGCTCATTTTCAATTGCTGCTTACCCAAAAGCCAGTGGTTTTATACTGAATGGTTTATGTCATTAACTCCTCTGACTCATAATGCAGTACAGTTGTCTGAAAAAGCATTGACCTTGAAAAGAAACTGCTTCAAAACACATGCTCATTATGTGAAGAGAGTGAACATATATAGCATTATAGCAGGAAGCTTCAACACCAGGATTTTGTACCGAGTAAAAATAGAGCAGAACATTTTGATCGATGATGAAACACTGGGATAATTTAGGCATCCCAAAAGACGATTTTCAGATAATGGACAGTACAGGAAAAAATTAGGATTATCAAAAAAATCTGTAGAGTCACACAACACTAAACTCTTACAACACACTGCAAGTATCTTGGTATTTTGCATAAAGCTTCAGCTCTTGAAAGCAAACAGTTCCACCAGAGTCTTTTATGTGCTGTCTGTTTTAGTAACAAGTAGGAGTAGTCCTAGAGAAGAGCCCCCACTCACAGAGCTCATTCTCAAGCAGAAACCAAAGGAAAAATGTGCTGTGCTTTGTTATTTTATTTTTGTGTACCTTTTGCATGCTTAGGACATATAATGTAGAACACATCGGTTATTCTGGTCTGAAACACTCGGAAAAGGCATAAGTACAAACAGAAATTCTGTGATTATCATTCTTATTTATTACCCCTGGTAGGAAAGGTATCCAGCTTCATGCAGGTGCAATGAGGTGTAGCAGCAAACATGCATGTGGCAAGCAAGCTGATGTGCTTTTACATTAGCTAAAAAGAAAAAATAGGAAGCATGTTGCATTCATGCTGCCATAGAGAGATTCGTATTGCAGACAGCTCTTTTTGGGAGGCAATTCCTCGTGCTTGTTTTATTATTCTTCAGCAACCCTAATCTCAGCAGGCAGCCTGGCTGAGAAACCTTCATGTACTAGTCCCTTTACGGATCCAATCACAATTACATGAGTCAGGATTTTGTCTAATGAGGGAGTTACTGAAATAGCAGAACTTTTCTTTGAAGATAAATGACAAACACTAATTCTCCAAGATACCTTTTAGTTTAGTCAAAGTAAGACCCTTAAGGGGCAGTTACACAGCTACCATTTAGCAAAGGAATGAAAATGTCAGAAACGAATGAAGCAATTCAAATAGATAGTTTAAGATAAGAATCTCAATCCCACAAGCTGAAGCCCACAGTAAAAGGTCATGGTCTGAAAGTCTGGCATTGAAAGCTTAAAATCAAAAGATCAAATCTGAACTCTGTTTGGAGCTGCAATTTTTTTATTTTATCATGTGGAAAAGGAGGATTTATTAATTGGAATAAACCCCAGATCTATTATCTCATATACAGAATACCATTCAGAATTTGCAATTTCCTGATTTCTTTTACAAATTCCATTAAAGAACTGGAAAGTATTTATAATGCAGCAAGAGCCATGCTGCACACACAGCTGAACATACTCTAAACTAATTTGCTCAGATGCTGGTAACCTTTTACTTTCAGGAAAAGAAGTGTGCCTATAATGTTACACTGACACTGCCACAGCAATATAAAAGTCACTCATGTCCTGTTTACAAAAAAACGTATTCTGGAACCTTGAAACTTGACAGTGGGTAAAGTTTTAAGCCTTTTACTCTCGTAAGAATGAGATTTTTTTTTTTCTTTTCTTGAATGACAGAGATTTTGTGTGTTTATATATATTATATATAATTTAAAAACAGTAATATTATACATACAGTTCCTCCTTTTTATTATTTTTGCAGAAATATATGACATATGCTAGAGAAGATACGACAATCTACTTGTCATAGGACAACTACATTTGTATGGATATAAAAATGCTTTCCAGAAGCCCCCAAATATCTTGTAAGCAGTCAATGCAAACACTTCCAATATGATGTGAGATACCCTACTGCATGTTGGAATTGATTCTAAAGAGATATTTAGAACTATGACAGTGGTAAAGATAATTCAGGCCAATATTCTGGCACACTGGGAGAATACAAATAAATATCTTGCCTATAACTACTGATTTTGCCCAGCTCAGGACAAAGTTTGTATGAGTAGAAGAGAATAAAACATCTATTCTTGTATCAATAAAAAAAAAATTGAGAAAGTTCAAGGTCATTTACAGGAAATTAAACTCTAGCAAAGAGAAGATTTTCTAGAAGGATAAAAAAATTTGCCTTTTTTCAAATCAAGTTGTCTGAAGTTCAGAAATGATCTAGTAATTTAAGAGTAAAATCTGATGACAAAGGTCAAGTTTATAATATCTTTATTTTAAAAGGCAGGACAGTGGGGACAGAGCGAAAAAATGCACACAAAGACAGGGGAACATCTGTGACAATTCAGTCTAGCAAACATTCACAGAATCTTTGACAGAAGAAAGGCAACACAGAGCAATAGTATGAGAAGCAATATTTTACAGTAGTGGCAAGTCCAGGTGGAATACATGTCACTCATAATTCGAGATGAATTGTCATGTACCAGTTAGGTATGTCATTCAAACATCAAATATTTACTTCATCATAAAATTGATGTAAGCAGAATCACATTCCATTAGAGCTTTCAACATTTTCACAAGCATTTACACAACTTCTATACAGAAAATTGAGTAGAGGAACACAGACTCTTCACTACTCAGGAATCGGATTAAGCTGCATTTATGGCACAGAACAATTTTGCAACATTAGACCATTGCCAGGACAACTTGAACAGAGTTAGCAGGTAGAGCTGGGCAGGAAACACTTCAGGAAAATAGGGAGTAGGAAAAGAAAAGAGAAAGATAAGCATATGCCAAAATAGCAGTAACTTGGTTTTGCAGCTACTGCTATTTCTTCCATTTCATAAGAAGAAATGCTTATTCTTGTGTGGGTTCTTCTCTCAAAGGAGCTGATCCACTTTGTGAAAATATTTGAGCAATTTGGAGCAAGGACTTAAATCTATCTGTCTCAAAGTTAATGAAGGGCCTTTTTCACAAGGCCATATTGAGCACCTCTGTGGTTCTTTCACTGTTTTAACAAGATGAAACAGCTTTAAGACAATATATTGAGGGAACCAGACAATGTCCTCCAGAATAACCTCTAACTTCTGGTTTAGGGCATTGACTTGTTAGATCTAAGATCTTGGTTCAAGCCTCTGGTTTAAATAACAAAGACCCTGCACTCAAGTTCCTCGCATTCTAAAAAATAATGCTGCCTTCAAAATATTGGTTATTTTGAGAGTATCTCTGGTTTTGTCTGGCAATTCCATCCTGGAGCTGAAGAATCTTCACAATAAAAGGTTAGTGGTTATCACCCACTTCTTTTGAAAAGTTTTGGTTTTGGTAATTTGGCATTATAAACAAACAAAAAAAAAACTTCATAAAAAAATTCCCAACCAGCTCTAATAACATACGCTATTTTTTTCAGTTCAGAGTTCAAGTAACATTATATGTTTCTTTGCAGTCAAGACATTATATTGCTGAATGATATATAAAGCAAAACAAGATTCCAGTTGTCTTATGTGATATGCAATATAGAAAGATCCAGATACGAAGGACAGTGTAAAATGGTAAAAGGGTTCAACAGCAGGAATAAATACCTTCTTTAGCCACATAAGCCACAACATAAGCACCACCGTTTTACATAAATGACCGGTTTCCTCAGCTAACTTCCAGAAAATGGATGTAGGTGGAGCTACTGAAGGACAGGAAGCAGACTCTAGTGAATCAGAGCAGGTGAGAAGGGTTCTGGAGTAAACATCTTCTATTACTGACATAGGTATAAAACCTGAACACAAGCTGAAATACCAACAGTCCACCACCCACCACCCCCATTTCTCTTTAAGCACATAATTCTCTGGTTATTTGTGTGAAAACACATTAAGTCAACAAACCACTGAAACAGTTTAGACATCATAACTTTATGGCCCTTTCAGAGAGAAAGGTTTCACAGAGAGTGGTATAAAGCATAGTTGAACCATGCAAATGTATGCAGCCCATTCCTCTCACCAGTCCTGTGAGCTCCATCTGCTTATTTTTATTCAATATGCTTTATTGTGATTTTAAAAAGTAAAAGATTATTTTAGAGCCAAACAGCTCTAAGAGAAACAAAACTATTTCCCATTGAGTCCTGCGAAGCTATGTATATGTCATTTTATTAGCATAATTAAGGTGCTCTATGTTATGTAATGGAGCCATGTGATGCTTTTAATATTTTAAAATCAATATACACCATTAAGATGTTGCTTAATCCATTTTCCCATAGAATGTATTCATTTCCTTCTGTGTATAAACAAAGAGAGCAGCAGTCCCCATTGTAGGGTGAAAATATTCTTCATTAATATAGTACTTTATATATGGAAACATGCATTTTGATATTTTTCCCACTTGTCTAACAATTCATGCTTCTGGAATCCACAAATTTCTATATATACTACACACACAAGCACTTTGCACTATCTTCAACTAAGGACTAATAGCAGGAAAAAAATTGTGAAGGATTGGACAAAAGTATATAAACTTTATTGCATTCATGTTATGGGTGCAAAGCAGGATTCCTTGCTGCTCAAGAGGGGACAGAAAACACGCCATGCTATGCTGGTATAGCTGGAGGAAGCAACTAAGCACATGGACAACTGCAAATCTTGAGAAAAGCGTGAGGATTGTGTCCCTCCTGTTAAAACCACATTTTTTCCCTGCCATTCTCTACACGTGTGTGCCCATTACAACTCACCAGGTGTCAAAGGTGGTTTGTCTCTTGGGGTGGTTTGTCACCGTGGTGCTGTCTGCTGGTAACACCGAGGCTCTGTTGGACACATTGTTTTCTATGTAGGTACTGTCTGGACGTGGAGATGGAACTGAACAGAGAAACAGCAAACAATGTACACTGAGCTCTGCCAAAAAATCCCAGCTCCCACTCCTCTGCTTCCTCTCTGCCTCTTACAGTAACAGGAGAGCAAAGACACGGTTGTGTTTTGTGTAGGATTGAAAAGAAAGCTGACTTTTGTGATCCTTGCAGGGTAATACTGGTCATAACATGAGACCATCATCAGAACTTGGGTAAATTGTTATTAGATTTGAGAGCACTTCTATTTGTAGGGAGCTCTAAGCGTGACTGATATTTAAAAACAGGAAAGAGAATAAGAGGTTGGAATATTGTTATTAAAGACATGAAATACTACAGTTTACACTTCATCTTCACTTTAACCCTTAAAAACAGTAGTAAGTAAACAGTTTTTTTGGAAAAAAAATTATATTTGATGTAGCTAAAAGATAATGTACTAAAAATTAAAACATGGAAATTAGATTATGTATTTTTCAAACAGAAATACTGTGGTTTTGAAAATATACAACTATATACAGATCTAGAACATAAATTTATTAGAATTATGAATATCACTAGAAATACCTGCACTGGATTAAAAACTGACAAGACGCTTGTTGGAACGTTAATGCAGCATCACATTACACAATCTATCAAAACAGCATCTGTAAGATTTTGTTCAAGCTGTAGTACAAAAGTATATGCTAATAAATACTGTTCTAATACAAAGGTTAAATTTATATAAATAAGGATTTACCTTTTTCACAGTAACTTGCATATACTATTATCACCAGTTTTGCATACACTATTATTATTATACACTATAATACTTTCAAATAAGTATTATTTGAAATATAATATCATCTTCCCAAGGCAATAATTAAGCCCATCTAAAATATATTTGTTAGATAGACAAAGTTGAAGTGGAAAACCCCTCTTTTTTATAACAAGGAATTGAATAAATCCCAGATCTGCAGTTTCTTTAGCACATGACTTATGAAGTCCTTCTTCTTTGGAACTTTTGTTTCACTATACATAAAAAAGAAGGACAATCCACGCACAATTTTAGGAGCTTTTTAGGGATTAATGAAAGCAATCCAGGACTGAGAATTCTTAAGCATCCTCTGTTGCATTTGCAACACGAACACTCAAAAGCATCGCTCAAAACAGTGCAAGCTTTAATTCTGCTCACAGGTTTTAATATTGCAGTGGGACACTTGCAAGGATTGTCAGATTTTAACGTGTCTAAATCAGGTCATGAGCCAACTTATCAACCTGAAGAGGATCAGAGGAAGATTTGTGACTCTGCTTAAGGTTATTAGGTGACTCATAATCGAATTTCAGCTGATTGGGACTTCTTAAGGCTCAGAAGAGCCCCACAAGCCTCCTAACACTTGCAGGACAGTAATTAGCCTCTTATCATCTTCTTCAAAACAATTACCCAGGTTTAGCCATGAGGCAGCTGCTCAGAAACCACCATCTTTTGTGTGCCATAACAGAACACTATCTATTTGTGTGTGTCCATACACAGACCTGTTTTATTATTTATTCTGAACTGGAATTATGCAAGTGTGCTCTTGCTCGGAGGAAACCCGGATCTTTAGTAAGTCCCCACAAAAGAAATGCCACAGGTTACAAGCCATTAAAGCTAGAGTTACACGTCCATGTAACACAGTATCTGAAACAGATCAGTAAGTATGTCTATGTGCTACAAGTGCATAGGTATAAATAGAGCCTTTATAAGAACTGAAAATAAAAATTTAAAATATTGATTAACTGCCTACTTTGGTAATACTAATTTTGTTCATTTTGCCCTGATGTCCTGATAAATTATATTTTGCTTTACAAGGTACTGCAGTGGATGTACTTTCCAATTAAAGCAAGCTATCATTTACAAATAAACAATAGGGTACCAATGCAGATCCTGCAAACTCACCCTCTGAAAGCTGAGTAACAAATATTTTTCCAATAAACCTTGGTAGTTGTTCATGTTAATCCTCTGTATCAATTTCTAGTACTTAATTTATATTCCATACTAAAATTCTGCATTAAATTTGAAAGAGCCACCATGAAATTACCTCTGTAAAAGCTGCCAACTCTTCTCGGAACAGGGTCATTATACAGAATTCTATTCTCCTTAGTAGATGCTCCATCTTCTGTGTGTGGATCATGATATGCTCCACCCTATGTAAAAGAATAATAAACTATTTAAAATGAAAGACTGTAAACTGATTTGCAGTTTTTAGTCAACATACATAAGCAACAGAACTCCAAATTCACCATACCATTTTCCTTTCATTTTATTAATAACTGCAAATATCAAATCACAGACTATGTAATCAATAATTACTTGATTTTGCTGCTTGCTTGCCTCTTTCCAAAATGACAAAAATGGCATTAACAAAATTTTGCCTCCAAGTTGTGATTTTAAAGACATTAATCTGATTCAGGCCCTCAGAATTTCAACTTGAATGAAATGCAACTGTAACATCTCGGGAGAAATCTTTTACTGGAGGCTTGTTAAATTAATTTCTGATGGAATCTGGTCACTCTGCTACTGGCAAACATTAAAAAGCAGATAGGAATGCATCTAATTTGAAATAATTGCAACACCAAAGCACTATCATCTCTTATCTCTCAATATCATTATCTAGAGGTACCAACAATCACAAAATCTACTGTACGCAAAATAATAGAAAGTCTCTGAACTAAGAAATCTATAGACAAAGTTCTTCAGTCAGACAGGATAGCTAAAAGCATATCATTACCTCTAATTCATTCTATTTTCCTGAAAACAATACTGGAAGTACTTCAAGTACAAGTTTAGGTGAGCCCATAGAAACATCCTTATGCACACAATTAGCCACCAAATATGACTTAACCCCACTCTTAAATGCATCAGAAACTACAATTTTTTCCCTCAGTATGGACTGACCACATGAAATTTAATGCTCTCTCCAAGACCCCATAGGAAACTACTGAAACCCCTGCACTAAGTGAAATCTAGAATGTCCAAGAAGGACAAAGGTTAAAAACCAAAGCCACAAAAAAACCTATCCAAAACTAAAAACTGGGATTTCAATTCACCGCACAAGTGATTTGCAAAATCTACTTTGCTTTTTGTGGATGAAGATCTGGTCTCTGTCTTGTTGTCACAGAGAAAACAAACCTTGAAACTGAGGCCAGAACTGCAGATAAAACAATGCTTCAAATCCCAGCTGGATTCTTCTAAAATTTACCAGAGGCTGAAGCATTTGATTAAATTACTACTTGTATTAGATACCTCTTATTTATCAGCAGTTAGATTTCAAACATGAGACAGTAATAGCAACTTGCATTTGATTTTCTTCTGCTTAACCCTTTTTGTGTACATTTACTTTAAATGTAAAAAACCCCTTAAAACAAAACTGTTGTGTTGAGACATGAAAAGTCCTAAAACTAAGACTGGATGAGAGTTTTTTCTTGATTTTTTTTCTTAAATAAGATTTAAAACTTGGCAAAAAAAGAATGTTTTTCTTTAAAAAGACTTGGTAGAGCTAAAAAGAAAACCAATGCGAAATAGAAACACAGAAGTAAGGAAAATTAACCAAAGATGAGCAGAGAAAAAAACCCCAGGAGAACTGATCAGAAAAAATAAGTATGAAAACAGTAAAGAATCTATGAGAACACATATTATTAATGAGTTTTTTAGTTCACTAATCCTGAAGGGAGTGAAACTTTCTGACTCCTAATGCATAATGTAGAAAAGGGTGGGAAAATAGGATAGGAAGGAGCCAAAAAATGACTTTTTTTGTGAAAATGCCTTTATGAGGCGTAAGAAGATTGAAAATTTGATTTTGATTTGTTACTGAAAGCTGTATAAACAAATAAAAAACAGCTCTGTGAATTCACAGACTTAGCATCCATTTCAGAAAAGTCATTTTCCTTTAACACTTCTAATGGTTGAAATACAGATTTAAAAGCACTAAGTGAAGGCTGAAGTTTTAAAAATACTGACCACAAGAGATAAAGGCAAGTTCTTTATCTTGAATGAACAGACTTTCCAAAGCAAATGAAAATGAACAAAAACATAAGCATTACAATACACACAGATTTTCCTAATTAAAATAAAAATCTGTAAACCCATTTTCAACGACAAAGAATTATCCAATAAAAACAACTGGACTCTAAATAGTATGAAATAAAATTAAAATTACTTCAAATTACTATCTGCTGCATAATGCAGAAAATGAACTGAAGAATACAAGGTAGTGTGACCTTTTATTATCAAAAACTGAAACACTGATATTACTGCCCTTCCAAATAATATCCTGAAGAATAAGTAACATTTAATTTGACTGAAATGAGAGAGACAGAAAAATAAGTACACAGGAAAAAAACTGTTTTTGAAATGGAGCAGCTGTAATCCCTTCTAGGTAGCTTTTTAAAAATTATTATTCCATTGCACTTTTATTTTGGTATTTTCTGATGTTTGAATAAACATAATCTTGAATGGAGGAGATGTGCTATGAATAAAAAAACATATAATGTCTTTTTTTCTCTACTGGACTGAGGAGACAGCCACTACCTGAAACTCTTTTATGGTACTTGTAGATGCCTATTAGGTTAGCTACACGTATTTCTTAGATGAACTACTAAGTGGGCAGAGTATTTCAGTTTCTCATAGTAAACCATCATCTTTGGACCTTAAATATTATTTGCAGCTCTTTGACTTTCTTCAATTTATCAACAAATTTGAACTAGATGTTCGCTCCTTAGAAGTCAGTTTATCACAGGTGTTGGCATAGAGAAACAAACACTTATTTTTGTATTTGTCTCTCCATCATTTTGTTAATAGAGAAATTTAAAGATCTGAGGACAAATACAGTCATCTTTACATATCTGATGTGTAAAACATGAGATAATTCAGAAGTGTTGTGTAACAAATGTAAATCAACAGCAGAACCAGCCTGTCCTCTACTCTTTAATTAATGCTCACAGAAAAACACAACCAGGTATCCACTAACAGTAACCACTGTCAGAGTCAATTTACAGTGGCCACTACAATATGAAATTTCTAGATTACACCAGTTACTTATCATACTAATCTAAAGAAATATTGCAAGCTTTGATATTTCTCTTGTAAATTAGGGTATTTCAGAAATAATGTCCTGCTATACCTGAATGAAACACTGGCTTCAAAAATTAACATTAACATTCATAACAGAAATACATATAGGAAAAGCTAAATAAAAACACAAATGAGAAAGATAATTAAGCAAAATGATACAGTAAAAATGACATCAGACTATGTAACCAAGGACTAAAAACAACTAATGAAATTTGAACTTCAGAGACAATTTTTCTGTTCTCACATTTCAGTACTTTAGGAGAATGGTATTCAAAGTCCATTTTTCAAAAGTACCTTGATATATTCAGCCCTTCTGAAAAAAAAAAGCCCCCAACAACATCCCCATACCTTACAAGACAAATAAATGAATAACTGCAAAGAAACAAACAGAAGACAGAAAGCAGGCGCACTGCCCCCACGTGAGTTAAAAGGAGAAAGGTAAACCTTCAAATAAGAGGCAATATTTTGGACTAACCCTATTAGAATCTTCCGTACAGTCTTCTCGTGATGAGCCAACAGACCTTGTGAGTGACTTATGCTGCACCTGTGGAGATAACAGTTGCAGGCTGTTTGCTCTGGCTGCCATCCCTTGCCCTACGCTTAAGCCACCCTCTGAGCCCTTTGACCTCACTCTGTCCCGGCTCACATACATAGAGTGTCTATGAGGGCGCTGCTGTGAAGAAAAAGGACTGGTATAACCTAGACCATAGGAAAAAGATTCATGTGGAGCAGACAGAGAGTGGGAATGGCTTCCATCCATGTGATCTGGCAGTTTTAACTCCTCCATTGTTTTGGAGTGTCTTGTTGGTGGTCTTCGGGCATCCAGGGTGCCCTCGCTGCGGTTATTCCTGGCGGATGGACTGAGCATAGTTCTGTTATCACTGTGCCGGGGAGCACTCGGACTGGTAGGAGAGTTCAAGTCCATGCAGCTGGATGGAAAATACCTACTGGTGTTTGGTTCTGCAGCTTGGGCCCTGGCCTCAGAAAGGTTGCCCACGGATTTTGAGTCTGTCAGAACTCCATGGCTCTTGGACTTTGTCCGATAGGAGGGACTCTTAGAAGACTGTGGGATGGTATCGATGTAGCTGTGGCGGCTGTGCTTGTCGCCAGGCTGCAGCGTCCCAGTTTTGCTTTGAGAAGTTTCCATAAAGGAGTGCCGGTTCTGCTGAGATCTGGTGTTGGACTTCAGGTACTTTGTGCCTGAACCGTCAGAACTTTTGGTGTCCACATTAAAATCAAACTCTGTTTTTCCCTTTGGTTCCTTTGGGCTGAGAAGATGTGGCATGTTATTATTGGCTATATCCTTGTTGCCAGATCCAGGTGTGTTGCTTGGTTTTTTTGCGTGCATTGGACTAGGTGCAGGTCCAGGAAGGTTTCCATTTAAAAAGCTTTCATTTGCTGGAAGCCCCTCTTCTCTTGGCCCGCCAGCCCCTAGTGTCTGCATATCCTTGCTGTTTGATCTGTGGTGTGACTGCAAAGCAGAACTTTTGCTGGCTTGATTTCTATATTAAAATGCATAAAGAAGCATTAATATATCAGATTACTTATTCATGTATTAATAACTTCAAAAAAGTACACCCATTTCAGTTGCCATTTAAAACCAAAAATTTAACTGCAGTAAGATCAAATATCGCCAACTAAGGCACCAGAAGCTTCACTAAAATAACAGATTTGCAAGTGTTTTTACATTGTTGTTTCTGGTTATAATCTGATGGCAAACTCTGCTTTGGTTAATGATTTTGCTGACACAAGCTCTAAAGATATAAAATCTAGTAACAGAAATTCCAACATATTTGCACATTTATGTATGTGTGTACATAAATGGATGTGAGTACACCGCTAAGTGAAGCATTACATTATGAAAATCAGCTGTATATCAATTGAAAAAATCTTAAATACACCTGGCATATCAAAGGAAGGTAGAACAATCAAATATGTCAGCACTGTCAAAAAGCCCTGATACAATCAGTGCTCCAGGCTATCTTGGGTATTCCTGGTTTGGAGGAGGAGGAGAGAGGAAAGGAGGGGAAAAGAGGTTATTGTTCAGATGGAGTCAGCCTGAGCTAGCCCTGTAACACCAAACCCAAAACCAGGTCAACCACAGGAAGACAGCTTTTGTGGAACTTGGCACTATCCCAGTTTTTGGTATATTAACTCATTCCAAAGCTGCACCTGAAAGGCTCTGCAACCAGACTGACTTGGGGCAGAGCTACTTGGTTATGTCCTTGTCCTCTACTCTACTTCCTAGCTCTTCTGGTTTTGGGACTACAGGACTGAGATATGAGTTGGTTCTGCAAACCCTGAGACTGATTTTTGTGAGCAGGATTTATTATCTCAGGTTTTCTGGCATTAAACCAGTTCAGCTTCTGGGAGCTTTAGGCTGGCACTGCCATAGCCAAGACTGGACAGTGCTGGAGCTGTGCTTGTTTGCCTTGATGGACCTAGGCAGGCTATGAGCAATTAACTTATTTCTGTAATAAATCTATGACGTAACTCAGATATATTGCTGAGGGTTGAAGTGAGAGATCACTGTACCTTTGTTGATCTTTTTGATAATTATAATTGGATAACGCTAGCTGGTTTTATACCTAGGATTTTTGTATTAACCACTTCCAGTGATCTCATATTTCATTGCAGTTCCTAAAACTTAAGAAATTTTAATGCCAGCTTAAAATATTTTCCAGTCAACAGAAAGCATATTTTTCAAAACTTTAGAGATAGAGGAACCTAGTATTTTTACTAGGCAAGACTTTTGGACAAGTTTCTAGTGGATGCAGGTCTTTTTTTCTTTCTGATACCATATGTCTAATGATAAAACTTCTACTCTAAGCATCTGTAAAGGCAGCTAAAACTTCTTGGTGTCTATCTTTGAAAAAGTATAGATTGTGAATGTCATCCGAAATCTTAAAATAGAGGAGCAATTTTTTGAATCTCACAGGATAAGCTAAAGAAAAACATGGCCAGGATTAAAAGCCTGTATATAGAATATTAAAATATTCTGCATATTTCAGAGGGTGACCTTTATGAATGCATTTATCAGAGCAATAACAAGAAGCTTTTTGTACTGAAGTATTTCATCCAGCAGTAAACCTGATTCACTGAGGTATGAAAATTAAGTGGCTTCTCTCAAGCTACGTGGGTCCAGCAAGGGAGTCACTGAGCAAACATATCCTGTATGAGTCTGAGGTCAAATAGACTAGACATGATCCACAACTGCAACTGCAGACAAAATTCTCTTCATCTCCAATTTGGAATGTGATCAATAGGCACAATTTTCAGGACATTCAGCTGCTACAAATCTGTGTGAACTTTAAGCTTTTAAATATCAAAATCTTGGACAGATTTGTACATATACAACAGTGGTAGCATTCCAAAGAAAAGAGCATTCCTTTGGAATCTTGGGCATCTTCCAAGCCACAAAATTCCTATTGTTCAAGAAAAAGGCTAACATTTTTTTTTAAGGTGGATTAGCCAATTTTTTTTTTGTCATACAGAAATGGCTTCAACATTGTCTCTTTTTTTTTTGATGCAAGCAGCCTGATGCAGTAAGTTAGCAAAAATTTCAGTTCGTGTAGCTGTAGATACTGTCTGCTTCCTTTACTCAGTGAGGCAACAGAACAGCATACATGATCCAGAGTGCCTCAGCTGTCAAACACCCACTTTTCTTGTAGGTGATGCTGCATGTGAGCACCACAACAACTCACTCACCGGCAGAGCAAGAGTCAGTGGCAACAGTGACAAGGCTACATTTACCTGTTGGATAAAGTGTTGCTGTCTGCATGGTAAGGTTTTCTCTTAGCTGACCGTGAAGGTGAACTTCCACAGCGATCCAAGAGTCTTTGGGTTTGAAACGAAGGGTGGTTCAAACATTGTTCTGTCAAATATCTATCTGCTGGATCTAACTTCAGTAAGTTCTTTGAAAAACAAATCCCAAAGCTTAAATGTTAGTATCTGTATTTACATTATCAAAAAAACCCTAAAACCAAAACAAAGAAAACAAACCAAAACAAAAAAAACCCCCACAACAAAATAAAGAACATTATTGGGTAATTTTTTAATCTCCAAAGTTTCTGTGATTAGATGTCACTGCTAGAGTAATTTCATGGTGCATTAAACTACATATGATACTAAATAAACACATATATTTGTTATATATATATATATATAATTTTATGCACACATATATGACAGTATGTTTAAAATACAAAGATATATAAAATTTCTAAAAATGTTATATATATCTATATATGTTTTAAATATATGTATTTTAAACATATTTTTCAGGATAAACCTTACAACATTGTTTTGAATCAAAAATATTAAATTTACCAGTAATAAAATGCTACAATGAAACAGGCTTTACAAACAAATGAAACAACTATATGGGAACATTATAATCCAAAAATAAACATTATTTTAAAGTTTAGTATTTTTAAAAATACACAAATGTAAGAGTTCTGGTTTTAGCTTATAGGGATCAAGTTCACCTGTATTTTCAAAGAATTCTCTAAGCTGTTTACAATGCATTCAGAATAACATTTGCCTCATAATTCTGTTAGATCAGTTATGATTCTAAATAAAGACACTTCCTGACATGAAGAAAATATTTAATCACAAAACTTGAAATCAGGAGCTTGGGTATTTTGGGAAGTTTGAAAGGTTTCTTGCAATAAAAGAGCAATCCAGAGTTTACATTGGAATATTCAAACATGCATGACTGTTAGCAAGGTTAAAAGTTTGAATGGCTATTAAGTAAAAAAAACAGCTATTTCTTAAGGGTTGTGTAAGTTTAAGAGAGAAGAAATCTATGTGTGTCTGTGCATACACACACACTACATTAACACCATATTCAGCCACTTGACCACAAACTGGCTTTCCCTTCACAGGATCCCTGCACTTCAAAATGGAAAATGCTCAGGAAACAAAGCAAGTGGCAAACCAAATCTTATGCAGTTTGGTCATACACTATGCAGCACCTTTCTTTCTTAAGTGACACACTCTACTGAATGATTAACAGCTTCTTTCCCCCTTTTTTTCTGGTATTCATCACTACAGTGGCTCAAAAGGCTGAACAAACATGAGGAGGCCACATGTGATTCCTACATTCCCCTTCAGAAGAGCGGATGTCCAGAGGCTTCTCACAAGTGCCTGTACACTACATTACACAGGCTGGACAAGCAAGGACAACTGGAAGTCCACAGGTTATCACAAGGCTGGGAATCTGCCTGGAATCACAGGGAAGCAGTGGGACAGGGCTGATGGCTGAGGCATGGTCTCTGATGGGTACAACTGGTCTCAGAAGGAAGGGGATGGAGAGGGAGAAGAGTAACACTCCATATAATTGGCTTCCTGGATCACATCCAATGTCTGCATGGAACAAAAGGTTTATCCATGGACAATCTCTAGGTCAGGATTAGAAGGCAAAGCAACATATGGTATGTTATGATGGGAGTTTGTTACCAACAATGCATTGAAGAGCATGAAGGTGCTGAAGAGGAAAACTCTCTACAACAACAAAAAAACACCTCCTGGTCACAGATCCTCATCCTCACAGCAGACTTCAGCTATCCTGACATCCAGCCTGTGTACATGCTCCAGGAGATTTCTATAATCAGTTGGTGAAAATTTCTGAGTGCAGTTGCTGGAGAGGCAAATTAGCCAAGGAGGGGACTTCAGTTTACTTGAGCTGCTGCTCAACAACAGTTAAGTACTGGTGAGAAATCTGATCAGAGAAGACACTGAGCTGTAGCAACCATGAGATGACTACAGTTAGGACTGAAAGAAGAGGTGGGAAGATAAACATCACAGATAAAACCCAGGACTTCAGGAAAGCAAATTCCATTTTTTATAAGGAATTACCAAGCATAATCTCCTGAACAACTACCATAAGAGGAAAGATGTCCAGGACAGCCATTGATTTTTACGGAAAATTTGGTTTGAGTTCAGGAACAAAGCATCTTACAGTATAGAAGACCAAAATCTTTTTCATAGGTTGAGTTTGGCTAAACAGGGAATTTCCTAATAAACAAAAACGCAAAACAGAAGTGGGTGAGAACCAGAATGAAGGACAGGATACAAAGACGGACTATAAAAGCAGTGCATTAGCACAAAGGTCAGGCCACTCTTCAGAAGGCCACAGTCCAGCTAAGGCAAGTGAAGAAAACCAAGGGTAAAAAGAAAGGGTTCTACAAGTATTCTCTTTAGCACACAGCTCAGAGGAAATGCATGTCTGGTGCTGAATGGCAGAGACAATTGAATGGCAGATGATATAAAGAAGAGAGTCTCAGTGTCTTTTTTTCCCAAATCATAACATGCAAAACCAGTTCCTAACTCCCTAATGCTTGCAAATCAGCTTGACTTGTGATGGAGAGCAGAGGACTGGAGCAACAACAAAGCAACAAGGTCAAATTGGTGCCTCATCATTAATCTAGTCCAGAAATGCTCTCTAAATAGATATATGTTAATAACTCCCTACTTCAACTGGCATAAATTGAAGTGTGGGTTATTCAGTAGTCTAGTAATCTGACCTGAGGTCCCTGGGAATGCAGATAATGAGGAGCACAACAAGTGTGGACATGTATCAGACTGTCCCTTGTCTGCAGAAGAGACAGACACACAACAAAGTATGCGCAGCATTTGCAACATGCAACTTAACCACAAGTCCCTTCTGTTCTCTCCTTGTAGGCGTCTGCACATTGCTTAACAGGGTTCCAACTCCTGAATTGAGAAATGCAGATCAAACAAAAAATATCCCCTCTACAGAATTCCTGACCTTTCTCACCTTGTGGGCAGAAACATCAACAGAAAAGATGAAAAGAATGAAAATATTTGGAAACCTGTGCTTCCCTAAAATTCAAGTGCTTCATTTCACAACTTTGCAACTTTTAAATCATATCAAAAGAACCTAAAAAAAACTGAGATATAACATAAAATTTAGGATAACATGAAAATAAACCCTCCCCCAATACATGTAACAATGGTCTTAAGACATATTTTGAAATTTCCGTTCTGCAATATATACTACGAGATCTTGAGCTACAGCTAAGTATGAAAAAAAGTTTCTGTGAATTAGAAAATAGAGGAGAAAGTATAATACCAAAACAAGTAATTATATGCACTGGAGTGTATCATATTGCAGACTCCTTGAAACCAAGATAAAAGCCATGCTGACTCTCTTCATAAGGCATGGAGATCAAAGGGATTTGAACTGGCTGTTCTGAAGAAGAGTAGAGCAAATTTGGTGGATTTCTGCTGGCTACAGCAATACTACTAAAAGCAAGTAAACACTCAAGTATTTCCCAAAGCATCTTTGTTTTCCAAGACAACTGGTGCAGAGGGGTTTGGGATCATAAAATTAATTCAGAGTTGATTAGCCATATCCACGCTTCATGTGTGTCCCATATTGCCTTTAATTCTTAGGCAGTTCTGTGATTATAAACCTAATTTTGGATACTATGACTTCTTTCTTCAGCTCACTAGGGATGAAGTGATGTGAGAGTTATACTGCAGCTTACCATGGGAGTATTTTTATAGTACAGTAGTAAGGACAGCAATACGTGTTCCATACCCAGGAACACGGCACAAATGCAAAGCACAATGTTTTTGTGGGGAATGAGCTTCTTCTGATTCCTCATAAGAAGAACTCTCAGGACTATAACCTAGTTTGGCCATGTATAACTAGCTGACTTGTTCCAACACTGGACTGAAGAGGACTGAAGAGTAATGTACACACTGTGTAGAGGTGATAGCAAGCAGATTAAGATTTTGGATAAAAACCCAGAACTCCTGCGTGTCAACTTTGTTTTTGACAACTGTCTACATCCTCACACTTACTCAATAACAAATGGAAAACAACTCAGGTTAGCCCAAAACTCTGTGGATGTATCTAAACATGATCACACTCCAGCAGTCAGTGCATGGGTGTCAGTGTGAAAGCACAGCCCTGCAAAGGATGGTGATGATGCTTTGTCTGGGCTACAGATTCTGTATCAAATCAGTTAGAATTGAACAGACTCTCCTGGCATTTGCAAGGGATATTTTCCTGATTCCTAGGAAATACCAAGCTTTACTACAAACAATGGGGGAATCAATATATCTCAAAAGGGAGTTCCCAAAGTCCTTCTAAGATGTGTCATATTAAAAAAAAAAAAGTAAAAAGTCACTTATATATTTTCCTACATATTACAGATAGAGAATAAAAGACAGTTTCCTACCTTCATAAGGTCAAGCAATACACCGCTTAAAATTCCCAAATATCTTCTTTCTAAAGACTGTGGATGATTGACTGCTGGAAACTGTAAAAAATACACTGTAAATATATTGATCATGTAAACAAGGTAATACATGGATACAATGTTTCAAAAAATAGAAACTAGTGAATCAAGACATGTAATTAATGGGAATCCTAAACTGAAAAATTTAGTGGTTTATGAAAACTATAAAATATTATAGTGAAACAAATAACTCTATATGTGTGGTAAGCATCTAGTCAACCAAAGAAAGTATTTTTGATCATTAGGACAGCCAAGAAATCACTCTCAAGTGAGAAATAATCAACTTAAATTTTTTTGTGGCATTATGATTGACAGGAAATTTAAAATAGATTCAGAATTAACATAAGTAACATATTTATTAAAAAAAAAGGTTAAAAATGTCTCAGAGAGAATTTGAGAGTGCAAATACAGTACTACTCAAATACTAAACATTAATGAACAATTCCCAAGTGTTTTTAGTGAAAAAAGGCAAAAGCTCAAAGATTGGAGTTTCAGGGTTACTGCTGTGGTTATGCTGCTGGCAACACCATGAGAAGCAGTGCACACTGCTGGGGGCATCCATTAGTTGTATTAGTATTACTTTTCATAAATTACATTATGTGAATTTGAAGAAAAATGAAAGAACAGTAGTTTGAATGCTTTTATTCCTAAATAGTCTCTGTATTTTTCTTTTGACTTTGCTTTATTTTGAAGTGGTTTACTAATAATTGAGAATTTTTTAAAGTCCAAGTCTGCTATACTGATCTTAAACAGTAACTTAGGTAAAACAAGGTTTCCACACTTCCTCCAATTTTAACATAAACCAAATTGTAAAATGTTCATGTCTTCCTCTGGAGTCACAATCATAAAGAAGCTTTTATATCTAGAATGATCAGGGAAAAAGGAAAATGTGCCAAAGCCGTGCAAAGCACCAGTGGCTTGTCACTGTAATTGTTCAGATTTCTTCACGTAACTTATTGGTAGAATAAATATTTATAGCCCTACATTGCCACTCACACTTTTCTGTAAAGTCATGAACCTATTGGTTGTTTCTGATCCCCTATTATTTTACTTCCTTATGTCTTCAACATACCCTGGATGTTTTCCTCCTCTAAAGAGCTGAAGAGAGATCACTAAATATTCCCTAAACCTCAGGAGCAATGAAAACTGTGTTATATACATATATATGGAGGATATGAGTCGAAAGAAAAGACAAGTTTGCGACTGTCCATTTGGATCCATGCTGGAGTGTCTGAATTTTTTTCACCCTGTTTTACAATATGTGAGTATTCACTGAAGATAACATAGAAATTCACAAAGTCTAAGCATATGGATAAAAAATTTTACATCATGGGCTAGTTTCTGTCTTGAGAATATCCAGCACCAAGTCCAGCTTGTAAGTAATAATTGGCTTGATCACAGCACACCTACTATCTGCTCTGCAACAGAAAATCTTTCACTATTAAGCACTACACTACATTCAAAAAAATGTACTTTTAAGGCTGGCTTATAGCACAAGATAATTGTTTCCCATTAATTAACTAATGAATATTATATTTCAAACAAATAATGTTTGTAGTATTTTGGATGTCTAAGCCATTATTCAGACTTTACTTCAAGTCTAAAAAATACTCTCTATGAGGAGCCGTATGGCCCTGCCACATCAGCAGTACCCTGACTTTACAGATGGGACTAAGAAGGCAGGAACATGTCTGAGGCCAAGCACTAAACCACTGATCCGGGATGAGAACAGACCCATAACTCTGAACCTTGTGCTAATCACATTAGGTCTGTGCTGTCTTCTTGAATTACTGTATTTTTAAGCTACAAAACAGATACTTCATCTTAAGACATCACAGAGTATTTATCCAAACAAGATTACACTGCACAATCAGAAATGCTGTAAAATAATGTTGAAGAGGCAGTAATTTATTTTGCTTACATTTTTTAGAGCATTGCTTTCCTGATACGGGGTTATAAATTTCTCATACAAAAACACTATCCAGCCCACTGTTCTAAACAGGGTGAAATACAACTAGGACCTTGCAAGAAATGCTTGTCTAATTGTTTTTTAAACCCTCCACTCTGGAAGGGTCTACAGACTTCAACAACTCTTCAACAAAAACTCTTCAGAATTAGTTATTCTTATACCTAAAATAAATACCCTAACACCTTAAGCTAACTCTTTTCTTTTCACTGTTAGCTGAAACAAATTTGTGGCAACTTTGAACATGCTTTAAGAGAACTAGGTCCCCATTCCTTCCCTTTCACATTCTTACATTTTCTCTTTCTCGGAGTAAAACTCAAATCTTGAGTCTTTAGATGTGGCAACTTTGAACATGCTTTAAGAGAACTAGGTCCCCATTCCTTCCCTTTCACATTCTCACATTTTCTCTTCCTTTTCTTGAGTAAAACTCAAATATTGAGTCTTTAGCACAGATCAGGTCACCTAAAGCCTTCATATGTCTCTTTATATGATTTACACTAATGATTTCAGAATATCATCATGATCATAAACTCACCTTTCCAAGCAACATTCATCAATAGAAGAAAGGACAACCAAAACTGAATTATAAGGAAACATGAGTACAATCACTGACCAGGTACTGTTAAAAGTAACAGAACTATTACTTATTTATTGATTCTGGTATTTTGTCATATTGCACATCCCAGCTTGCATGGATCTTCACACAAGTGAGTCTCTGTCATTATATTATATTGGCAAACCCTTGAAGAGAACAATGCTGTCAGTAGGAAGAAGTTTTTTACTCAAGAGACTTACAAAAACTCCCCAGGAATATAAGTCAAAAGGCAGAGAGCTCTTCTGCCATGACAGCAGCATCTACAGCTCAGATTTTCCCAACAAACTAGCTTGAAGACAGCAGTCCTGAATTGTCCACAACCTGACCTTACAGAGCTTTGCCACTAAACTTTCCAGTGCAAACCCAGCAGGGCAATGTTAGATTGGGTATAAGAGGTAAATCGCATGCCAAAAATATCAAAGAAATGAAAGAAAGTCTTTAAACAACTTTTAACAAGAAAACAAATGTACTTAAAATACTCACTTCTGGTGTAATCAGAATTTTACTTTTCTTATGAATGCCTTATAGTCTCTATATCCTATACTTACCTAGAAACGTAGGCAGCAGACAACGCACAATGTAAACGTAAAGAACCTTTGCAGCACTTCACAGAAGTAAATAAGAAAAATAAGAAAAAAGAACAAAGCTTTCCCTTACCCGCAAGCCATGGAAGCGTGGGTTGCTGTAGAAGAGCTTCATCTGCTCAGCTGGCAGTGGGCCCAGCACCTTCTGAATGGTGAAGAGCTGGTCAATCTCACTCTCGCCAGGGAACAGGGGCTGCCCATCACTCAGCTCCCCCAGGATGCAGCCCACAGACCACATATCCACAGCCTTGCCATACGGGGCTCTGCCAAGCGAAAATAAAATGTTTGTCACCCACTGCCACTGCCTTCTTACTGACCTGCTTCAATTTATTTGCTATATTTCCCATGGCACACTTCCTCACAATACAGAAAAACAAACTTTGTTATTAAGCAAACTACCTCAAAAATCAAGCCCTCTGTGTCTGCCCTAGATTTCCTGATGTATCTATCACTGCTTGAAAAGGCTGGAGATGGATTCTAAAGTGCCCCCAGGGTCCTTGTTCTTTTTGAAAAATCTTACATACAGGAATAATCTTTCTGACTGCAAAGCATTCTCCACTCACAGTTAAACTACCACTAACGTCCCTTCTCTCTAGAGCTCATGCCTGCACTCTGTTCCTGCATTACATCTCTTGTTTGATTGTCCTTAATAAGGTGGATGGGCATACTGGGTCTGGCCACTGGGAGAACAGAAATCCTAAGAAATCTTTATTTCAGCATTTATAGACAAAAATTTTAATTAGAGAGAAAACAGAGTTCTCCTGAAAACTATTTGATAGAAGAAACAAGTGAGGAAGCAATGAAAGCATCATAAAGTAATTCCTGTTTGGGAGCAAAGCCACAGGGTGGGGTTTGGGGAGAGCTCTTTTTTATACACCCAAGTTCTTGCCTATTGAATTTGTAAAAAAAATTTGTAAACACCCAAATTATTCCAATAATGTCTTTCCAATGTTTAGGTTTTGAATAGAATGACTGAAGAATACTTTTCATGTCAACAAAAAATCATATAAAATCATAAAGACTGGAACAAAGATTGAAGTGAAAACATATTTCACTGAATGAAACATTTCACTGAATGAACATATTTCTCCTCTTCTTGAAGCTTGTAATCCACTAACTCAAACTCTGTTTCAAGAGATTTAAGTTACAGCTGGCTTGCCTTTTTCTGGAATAAGACAGCATCAAGAGTTGAAGGTGACAAATCCTATCCTAAATCTGTCTCCTTCACTCCTTCCTTATATTGCTGATTAATGATGTTTAGAGAAAGAACATCCTCAAACTAAAAAAAAAATAAAAATAATTTGACTCCTCCCCATTGATTACTCATGATTATTTACTTCATTTGTGGGGAGGACACTTGGCCAGAGGAACAGTAAACCCTTATGGTGATTTGGCTAGGAGAAGGTGAGAAAGCATTTCTAGCTGGATCATAGCCTAAGTGAAACTGCTGCTGGACTCTATGGCAGCTGGGAAAGCTGAAGTAGGGCACCAAAACTTCAAGAACCACTTGCCTTAGAGAATGTGCCATGAGACACTGTAGTCCTCTCACAACAACCATGCCAAAATCAAAGGTTTGCCCCACTGGAAGAGACTGCTGACAAAGAACCACCAGAGGCAAAGCAGACCATGTCACAATTCCTCAAGTACCACTACTACTCAATGGGATGCATAATTTCCTTATTAATCCTGCACAGTGGCTCCCTGCAGATTTGCTGGGACTCAGTATTTGACCCTTCTAGGGTGCTGCTAGTCCAACGCACACATTAGGTCAGAAGGACTTAAAGTAAGGCCTGGTTTTCCTTCTCAGTACACAAGGCAACACAAGCAAGAATGGACTCCAAAGCCAAGGCTCTGTAGGCAAAACAGTGAGAGCACAGGTAAAAATCCTCCCCTTTTATCATGACTAAAACCCAAATACATCTTTGTTTGCAACGCCTTTAATACATAGTTTTCTCCACTAAAATGTGAAATAGGGAAAAGGTTGCGGTAGAACAAGCTAGGGTCACAACTGAGGGATTGGCTAAAACTCCTTTGAGGCATGGTCCATTATATTTGCTTGCTCTTAAGAATAAAGGAAGCTGAACTACAGTTGAGAACTTTTCACTATTTAGTCAAACAGAAACAAATCAGAAAACAGCCATTTCTTAAGACAGCACAAACTTCAACCTTGTTGTTTGAAAAGGCGAACTCAAGACTTCTTTTCTGTTGATTGTCAGGATCAGTCTGGTCAGATCTCAGCAGAAAAAAACATGCAAGAGTGACATGGCTGGACAAATGAAAATAACTCCTGTAGCACAGATAGACCATACCTCAGAAGCACTACAGTCTGCCTGCACATATTAGATTCTCCAAAATACCTTTTTATCTAGTAATTTAGCATGTTTTAAAATCAACTGGCTTTTAGCAATATTTTGTCATCAAAGGGTACAGAGTACTCCACTAACAGTAGTTACCTGAGGCTCTCCAAAATGAGTAGATTTTAGATGTTCTGTGAATAATTACAGAGCAATTTCTTTCATCTCCTGAAATTTAAGCCTTGAATGTTATCACTAAACAAAAACCTCTCTGGGACACATTTTAAAAATTGAAAAAGTAAAACCATATTTGTTAAATTGAATGTAGTTAATAAACCTGTGAAGACTTTTGAATATTAGATGCTTATAAAAATTTGGTAAATGTAAGGAAAGGGGAATGGGAAAGATGAATACCTGGGAAATAGAACAGGATTGCCAAGAAACAGGCATCACTTTGCCAGAAAAACTTGGCTTTAAAAACATACACCAGCACAATTGAAACATTAAATACACAAATCCCCTCCATTTCTCTACAAGCTAATCAAACAGATTTAGTCAACTACAAACAGACATAATTCCTGCTAAATTTCCCCTGCCAACAAAACAGTTTCAGAAAATGCAGGTCAGACTAATACTATGTCTGTCAAGCTTTTCATGTCTTTCCTCCTAAATCCTCATTACTGTTAGTGACAGAAAAAAATGGTTTGTATCTAAAAAGGTCACAATTTATGCTATTTTTTCCAAGTCTTTTAAATTTATACTTATATATGCACATACACGCTTCACTGGAAGCTTTACTGTTTTCTCCAAAATGTGAAAAATTGAGCTTAGAGTATTTTAATAGCATTTTTAAGATACCATTATGCACATAAGAAAACAACTGCCAACAAATTTGATTAAGATTAGCACAGCTCTGGGAATACTAGGATGACTTTATTGACAGAATAATTATTACTTAATTATTTACCAGTACAAAAAAATCTAGTTCAGTGTTAATCAAATGTTCCAACAAAGACTTGTTTCCCAGGAGTACTCAACATGGTACTTAAAGATTCTTAGGAGTGACCAGAAATGTTTTGATTCATCCTGTGGCTAATAGTTCCTTATTTTAAGAATATGATATAAATACATATGCACTGTATATTGGAATTTTACTCTATGAGAGTGTTCACGTACTTAGATTAATGCCCTGTACTGTAATGGGAAGATCACATATCACAGACCTCCACTTTTTTTTTTTCCTCTTCCTTTGCCCTTGAATTTGTTCATTTACTATCTCATGAATTTGTTCATTTAGTATCTCAAAACCTGTTTTACCTTGTGAGGTAGTAAAATGCTCATTTTACTGATTAATAAAGGAGCAATACTAAGTTTTCTGGCTGAGGCTACTCATGAAACTAATACTTTTGCAGTCAATGTAATGCTGACTTCTCAGTGCTTTATTAAAAGGATTTATACAGCCTCCTTCAATAAATTCTTCCTAACTAGTAAAAACCTAGCACCTTCCTTTTGAGTGACTTCAGCAGTGCTGGCAAAGGGTAACCACAAATGAAAATCAAAGCAAAAAAATCACAGAAAGTTTTGGGGTGGAAGGCACTTGTGAAGATCATCTTGTTCCAATCCCCCCTCACCTGGGCAGGGACATCTTCCACTAGATCTGGATGCTCAGAGCCCCATCCTGACACTGCCAGGGATGGGGCACCCACAGCTTCTCTGGGCAACCTGTTCAGAGCCTCGCCATCTCTGAGCAAAACAGTTCTTCCTAATCTTGTCCTGACTCAAAGGATGAAGATAACTAGGAATGTTGCATTGTGAAAGCTGAACTGCCATTGCTATGTGATGTCCACACAGGGCTGATGGAACATTCCAGGCTAGAGGACTACCATGGAACCCTCTTCTGAAAGAACTGGGGATGGAGTGCAGGAACTAGAAGTACATCTGTTATAATTCAGCCTAATATTTTAATCAGTTAAACATTGCTCAGCTCAAGACAGGTCGTATGTCAATGATTCATACTGACCTACTGGAAATGAACAAAAATTAATGAAAATCTGGAAGCTCTTGAAACCTTGCCTTTAAATTCAACACTGTTCTCCACAGGCAGAGCTTACAAAAGGTGCTGAAAACCCATGTAGAATCAGTAGAGATTTATTATGGCACTTCTCAAAGTGTACTTACCCAAGCAAGAGTTCAGGTGAGCGGTACCATCTGGTAGCCACGTATTCTGTATAGTTAGCATTGCTTCCTTCAGAGAGATTACGAGCAAAGCCTGTCAGAGAAACAGCAAGAAAGATTGTATCCCATTTTAAAAACAATACCTGTATCACCACTGATTTTGGCAGTAAGAGGTCATGTCTATTTATATAGAAGCAAATTGTTTACAACCCCTGCTGCAGAATGATGTCTCCAACAAATGCTTGTCTACTGAAATGCAAGCTTTTATTGATACAACAGTGAAAATCAGCATGCCTGCTTTACTGACTCCCTTACTTGTGTACAATCTCACAAGCCAGTGGGGTTTGCTATTACTCTGTATGCTATTATGTAATCAAACCAGATTTATAAAAGTTAACTGTCAGTATGCCATATCAGCTATTGAAATATCACACTAAATTTCACCGAGGTGCTGTTTGCAGAAGATTGATAACTTTAGAAACATTACATATGCATGTGTACTAGACTCTTCTGCTCATTGATCCTAATTACTACTGTCTTTGATTTTTTAAACTGGTCAAAAAATGACATATTATTCTCATCTAAGGACATTACCTCCCAGGCTTGGCAAGGAAAATGGTCATCTCCTCAAAACTATAAAATGTAGGAGTCTAGGAAAACCAGCAAAACTGTTTATATCCGCACTTGGCTCACTCCATATATTTGACTTCTCAACTGCTTTAGCATCACGTTCACAATAAGGTTCTTCATGAATTCTTCAAGGATCAGAAAGCATGTCCAAATTAACTTCTTCATCCATATAATTTTGTTAAGAAATAACAAATAAATTAAAATGTATACTTTTTTGCAATTGTACCAAAATGTCCCTACTGTCCAAAGATGTAACAATTATGACCACTGGCTGGTCCTAATGGACAAGTGTCCGGAAAATGCGTTTGTAGGAATAATTTGAAATTTTATTTTCATTCTCCTCCATTCACTAAAAGTCAGTCAAGCACCACAATAATGTTACTGGATTTTTCATGTAGAAGTACTCCAGGACAGATGTTGGCACTATTTTCAAAAAGTATCAAGTCTTAGTGTTTTCAAATAAATAATTAACAGTTAGGTGAGACAGGACAGACAGATCTCAGCAGCAAGACTCCACATGTGTCAGCTCCTCACTAAAGCTCAAAGTAAGACAAACTTTTGGGACTGAAATGCAGAAGCAGCATTTCCAAAATGCTTTTTTTTTGGGATGTGGCATTAAAACACAGTTCAAAATTCCCTTCAGTGAAATCACTAAATCCTTCCATTATTGCATGAACAATGAAGAAATAGTAAAAATTCCAAAGAGTTGCAGAAGAATAAGGCATAACTTTATTTACTGACTCAATAAGTGCTACTTAAATGCAATAGATGTATTTCTTTATATCTGAGTTCCTTTGCAGAAGCTGCCAAAATTGCCTTTTCCATTCAACTATGTTTTGTAATGTTGTAATTTAAGAAAATTTTTGAATTGTTTTTAGTATTCTGAAAGTGTAAAGCTTAGCGTGAAGAAGCCCAATTTCACTGACCCCTGTGGAACACTAATTCACTACAAGTTGAAGTAAAACTTTGGATGCAGATAGTTATTATTATTATTATTATTAGACTAGTGATCATAGAAAACAATTATACATTTGTCAATGACATAGGTTACAGCTGTTATTTTTTGCAAGATACCTCTAACTTCAAGTGTTAGTAAACTAAAAGATGGGATGAGTATGATGAGGAATGGATATTTCAAAGCTGTTTGAACATAAGAATTCATATCTGTTCCCATAAAGTCTAAGGAACATTACTGGTGCTGCTGCAGAAAAGCTGGAAAGGACTGCTTTTTTTAAACTTCTAACACGGGATTGATTGAATTTTGAAATATTACTATATTTAGAACTGCTTAGGCAGCCCCATTTCTGTTCCAAATTATGAGCTATCTGATTAATCTTGGCAGTGGAAAATCTTTCATTCATGTGCTTAAAGAACAGAGGGAAGATAATCAGGAGCTACACCGAAGAAATGGGACAGTCAAAATGTGGGAAACCCCAGACTGAAAGGAGGAGGGGGAGAAAGGAAAAAAGTTGTCACATAATAGAAATAAATAGATGTGCTGATGCAACACACCAGCCTGGTAGCACATGAGCTCCTGTGCATCGGAAGAATCAACAGGTCCAAGTTTCATCCTCCTCCTTCCAGGCCAGTCTACCAGAACTTGGTCACAGACAGGAGCTATTATGTCCAGAAACCAGCTAATGTAGCCTGAAAAATCAACCCCTAACTTTACAGGCCAGGTGCAGCAGGGATTTGATGTGGCAAGACCGAAAGCAAAGTTATCATAATGAGCTTCTGTGTCACCTCTTTACTGTTGGGTGATGCATTGTATGGATCCAGTATTGCTCTGACCCTGTGACACCATGCAGAAAGATGATGGAGAGAACTAACAGTTCAGGAAAACACATCTTTCTAAGGGAACAATTATATTTGGTTATGATGGAGTTTGCTTATTTTTCCTTCTTCCAAATTGTGCTGAGGTATGAGGAATATAGAAATAAGAGAAGGAAGCTAGGGAGGTTAGATCAACTCTAAACAGCAAGCAGGAACAGATTAGAAGATGAAGATAGTAGATTTGGGTGAGAGCAGCTATGAAAACAGTAGCATTTGCAAAGGCATCATGCTGCAGAAAGAAATAAGCAAAATCAGAGATTTCAAGAACGGATTTTAAACAACTCAGAACATGGTAGGAGAGATGTCAAGGAAAAAGATGTAAGAAAAAAAAGGAAGAGGTTGTCAGTTTCTTACAGAGAAACAAGGTACATTTAACTTGGACTTAAGGTAAAGCATTCTAATCTTAATAACATGTAAGTACTTTAATAGATGCCTAGAAACACTAGGGAACCTCTATTATTCAGAATTTTAAGAATATACTAAGCAAACACCTGTCAAGAATGACACAGACATTTTATTGAGTAGGTGGAAAAACTAGAGGATTTCTTGAGGTCTTTTCCAGTCCCATGTTTCACAATTTCTATGCTTACACACCATACAGAAATTAAGAGGTTGCTAAAACAAGCAATTTTGAAGCCCTGGTGTTGAAAAAGCAAAACACACTAGTCAGAAAACTGAATTATTTCCAACAGTCAGATGCATCTCCTGTAATCGGCACTTGGTACTGTTCTCTTTTTCCACTTCTATTGGCAGAAATGACACCCACACAACATGTGTCCAGGCAAACACAACAACCAATCTCAATTTCATTTAGCACAGTATGTACAGAACACATGGCACAAGGGTTATGAAGAACTATCTCATTAAAAATTTACGATCTTTTCTGTTCAAACTGGTTTTGTCCACTGGGCTATTGCAAAGGGATGCATTATCCTTTTTTTTGTATTTGTAATCACAAATGTGACATTGTATGTGGCAAGTAGCCGTGTTCCAAAGCATGAATTAAGCAAGGTAGTCAGACTAGCATATCATATCACACTACAAGGCAAATTCTTATATCCTAATCTCTGCACATTCAGGAAACACTTGTGGTTAACACCATTCTGACATGTATTTTATAGTAATAGCTTAACCTACTAGCAATTATGTCAATTAGTAATAACACTGAAAAATTAAAACTGATTCCATCTTACAAGAGTTCCTCAGGATTGTAAATTCAACTAAAACTGAAAGGCCAATTAAAATTAAAACTAACCCACGTGAACATTAAGAACCATAGAAATACATAACAGTTTGCCTTCTTTGATATTATGTTGCTCACTCTGAGTACACCGTGATTGCACATTTTTTCCAAGAGCAGAAAGAGAACGCGGCTGAAGCACACAGCATGAGCAAGGCAACAGACCACACAGAGCACCACTGCTGGCAGAATTCACACCATCTCTATCTGGTGTAAAAACTGGTGTCCAAAACATGACCATACCATTTGTCTGGCTTTTTATTTTCCTGCAATTCTGCTGCACAGGGGATGTTGACACAAGTTTTGTCAGTTGATGTCATGTAACAACTCTAATGGTACTATTTTCAACCAGGGACATCCCTCACCCAAAAAAGAGGAGGGAGGAAGGGAGGGCGTGTGGGGTGCACAGCTCCCATGAAGACCCACTCGTGCTCCTTACCCCCACTGGCTGTACCTGCTTGTGATGAGGTTAGCCCAGACCGGGCTGTGCACCGCGCAGGGCACAGCCTGGGTTGGCTGCTCAGCTCTGCACAGGGCAGTGGGTTGGTCCCTCACTGGGGTTTGCTTGGCAGGGGCAAGACCCTGATAGTCACTGTAAGGCGAGGGAGGGCTACCCCAGCAGTGCAGACTGGAGGCCTGTGCGTGCCAAAATGGCAAAGGCACCAGGGGCACCACACAAGAGTATCTGATGTTCTGTCAGAGCTGTGCAGTACCTCACACTGAATTCAAAGAACTTACATGGACCAAATATTTTAAGGTTTTTCCTAGAGTGGTTATTGCTTCTGAATGTTTAGGCAAAAATGCCTTTAGGATTAAAAGAAATAAGCAGCACTGCAAATGACAAACACCTTTCTTGTCCTCCTTAGAAACTATTTTGATTTATTTTGTTAGCAGTTCTTCTTTTCATTCAAAATTGCAGAGGTTTGAAATGACAGCTTTCAAACTGTTCTTACTGAAAAGTGCCCTTGGGGTAACACTATGGAATCGGCTTTTATTTACCAAGCCAAACTGTAAACTTTTCAGAGGGAACAATATTTTATTCTGTGTTTATGTAGCATTTAGAGTAAAAATACAGATTGTTAGAATGTCCTGCCCTGTTGTCTTCTTGGATTACTCACATGGGCAAAGTTCACCTTGTACTTGTGTGGTGATTCTTCAAAGCCTTAAAGCTGACATTAAACAGGTAGGTCAAGAAACATCAGAGTTAACCTAACATGTACAGCTCTGACTGACCTCCAGTCAGTCTGTCATTAATCACAGGTGGACATGTGATTCCTTAGTTACGGTAACAAAAAACCTATAACTACACACATAACATTCCACAAAAGCCAATGGTTCAAAAAAGATATAGAAAGCACAAGTTTACTGTGTCTTTACTAAACAAGTAATAATTATCTTTTCTTTTAATACACAGGCCAGATAAACCTATAGTTTTGCCAGCCTCCTGATCAGCTCATCATCTGTGCTCCTCTCAGATGAGCCTCAGCAACATCAAAAGCAGAAACCTTGTCTAACACAGGAAGAGAGAAATGCAGTGTTTCTACAGACATGTTAACACAGGTATTTCACAGAGTATGCAAATTAAGAACAGAATTCTTTAAAATTAAAATACTAGCCCCAAACCTGAAGCAGTAATCAATTTTCACTGCTTGAGGACTTTTGAACAGTACATACTGTAGAACTCTTACAAAATAAGGCAAAACTGCACTGCAAGAGATTTTCTTTACAAAGATAAGTAACAGGTATCTTCCAAACTTACCAAAGTCACACAACTTCAGAACATCATTGTGGCTTATTAAGAGATTCTCTGGCTTGATATCTGAAGTATCAGAGTGGGTGGAAAGAAAAAAAAAGCTATTAACTTCTCTCAATTTTGGACTTTGTCAACAAATATTATTTCATTATAACTTATTTAGAGATATTCATGCAATCATAAATGAAGCATTACAAGAGCAACTGCTGAAACAGCTTCCAGCAATTCAGTTTGTGAACAGGCAGAATTAATTTTCTGCCTTTTGAAGTCTTCTAAAGTGTTTCCCAACAAAATGTGGAAAGATAAAATGTGCTTACAGATATTCCTGGGAAGAAAACCAATATCCATATTTCATATGGCAAAATAAAAGAAAGGACTGATATTCAACTACCCAGTTAACCAATAAAATATTAAGTATGTTGTGCTCAACATTTTCAATTATAATGACCATTTGATCACCTCTTGTAATTTCTTTAGAACAAGTGTCTTGCCCAGTTTTAGGCCCTTTTTTCATTCCTCTATTATACACATGGTACATTTTTCAAATTACACTTTGAAAATACTTTCAGAATCATGCTGGTCTTAAATATAAAAAACACACTATGTAAGGATTTTATCTTATTGGAAATATTAATTAAAAATGTTACTCTTGCAAAGTCACAAAGCAAAATACAATTTTACTGAATCAGGATAAATTACATAAAACTAGATTAAGTAATTAATCAAGATGTGTACTCTAAGTGCTTGAAGCTTAGGGAGAAAGTAAATATACAGAGCTGAAACTCAAGGGAGCTGGGACGAACTGCCTTAAGAACTAAAACATGGGGGACCAGGTTTTTAATTTTAGGTTATTTTTCTTCTATTGTCAGATTCAAAAGTGAAATGATTGAGCACCATGAAATGTTTAAAAAAAATCCTTTTCCTTAGACAATGTCTGTTCCCGCAGTTACAGTTTGCTGTGCTTATCACTTCCCAAAGATAGTGGACAGCAAACTTTTTATGTAGATGAATTTCATTTTAAAATGATCTGGAGCCATGCAGCAGACTTAAGACCCAGCCAAATTTACATTTTTTTCCTGTTGATAGAAAGCAATTGCTTATATTTATATTAAATGCAAATTACTTCAAGCTGTAACATGTTTCCCTTTAGAAAGGGCCTTATTTCATGTGGAGAAGTACACACTTACCTCTATGAACAATATCATTCTTATGGCACCAATGAATTGCTTTAATTAGCTGGTAGATGTAGCTTTTCACTTTTTCTGGTGGAACTCCATTTGGCATTTCTTCTAGCAATTCAAGCATATTCTAAATGTTTAAAAGACACATCATTTAAAAGAGCTATACTATAGCTGCTGGAAGACAACATGCTTTCAGCCTTCTGAAGCAACATATTTAGGCTAAAGAGCTCAGCAATGGAAAATCAGCAGTTTAACATTCAGGGAATGAATTTTAACCATAAGCATTCTCCTAGCTGCTTTCATTCTGGAGAAAACACTTGCGAAGACAATAATCCTAAAAGGTGAACCACAAATATACCATAAGTCCTTAAAAGACTGTCATCAAACCACTTCCCCTGAAACACCTAGAAAGTCATTTAGTTAAAAAACACTGCTTAAACAGAAACACCAGGTCAGGTGTGTGGCCATACAAAAAGTTTAGCAAATCAAAGCATTTTGTAAATACTCAGCAATGGTTTAACACACTGCTCTCTTCGTTATGTTGGTTCTGCCACTTCGACACTGCAGGGCCACCATGAATCACCCACTGTATCTGTACATGCATGGGTGTAAAACAACACAAGCCTCTTAGTGCAAATGGAGTAAAAGATATAAAAATTCCTCACAGGGGCATAGGGAGTACCCTATAGCTACAGATCAGTTATAGTGATCTTGGACATCTTGGCACTACAGCAACTACGCCATATCAACTATTTTGTGGATATAAATAGGAAAGAAAATAAACTTACTGTTTATACTAGTACACTTCCTCTTTGAAAAAGAACACTTAGATGCCCATTATGCTAACAGATGTCTCTAATTTTGCACAATTAGAAGTACAATGAAGTTTGTATGCTGATTTCTGAAATAATAATGGGCAGCAGCAGCCCACTGAAGAGAGGAAAAAAGTCTTATTTACTGAACACCGAAATAGTAATATTTTGGCTATATTGCATTACACAGCTCATTTAACTATGAATCTGAGCATTTTTTAAATTTTTCATTAGAAGTAAATTTACCTTGTCTTTGACAAACATTTTCTTTAGCTGCAAAGTAAAATTTCTGAGGTTTCGCTTGAAAGATGTTTTAATGAACAGTAGAGATTTTGATGATATTTGAAAACATTTCTAGGTTTTGCAGTTTGGGAGTAAATACTGGAACTTATGTGCTTGAGTGTGAGTTTTCTTACAAACACACTTCAGATCTGAAGAAAGACATTTTCTGTTAAGAAACCATATTGATTTTAGTTAGATTCTTGTCCACACAGAAGGCTGTGGATCTGGGTAAGTAAGTCAAGAAGTTAGTGTTACAAATACAAAACAAAATAATAGCATCAACACAGGATGACATAATCCTACACGAAGACATTAACAACGGGGATGATGAATAAAGGAGATTAGACTAAATGTGAATTTAAGTAATCTGGGTTTCAGTATTGCAGAGTTAACATGCCCTGAAGGACAGTATTCATTACCAGTTAAACAAAAAAATCAGTCGACTCCACCACATTTTATTTAATTCTTTCTACTTTTCCCTCATCCAAAGAATTCAGAAACATCCTGGTCTTCAAAGAAACTATGGGTGACACTACTTAAGGTATCTGAAAATAAGAAATGTTCATTTACTTCAAAGTTTAACTGAAAAGGAAGGTGAACATTAATACAGAAATGACATTACATACAAACTAGATATGATGCCAACCTATATTACCTAAATTATTTTATTCTGATATAAATAATGATAGATATTGCAGCCAGGTGTTTTTACTGATATTAACCATTTTTTAATATATACCCCTTATCAGATCAATTAAATATCTTTTATTTATGCTGTTCTTTAAACCTACTTCTCCAGATAGCTTAGTCAAGTCAACTACAACAGAAAATTAAATATACGTTCTAAGTTGCTGTGTGACCAAAGACATTTCATGTGTCTGGAACAATTGCAATGAACATGGGTGAAACAAGTCAAGCTTTGAATGTTAATCCAAGTAAGATCCACCACATTAGAAGCTGCTGATCTGCTGGTGAAGACCAAAACTGATTTCTGCCAAATTGTGGGCTAACAGAGGTCACCTCACATTATGTAGTCAAGTTATATGACAAAATAAGTTGTCAACTTGACGTAAAGGAGAAAGCATTTAGGGTGAGAAATTTTTAGATGAGAGAAAATTGACTGCAGAGGACTAGCACTCAGCTAGAGTGCAACAGCACACTGGCAGGAAATTAAATGAAAATTTCAGTCAAAAGAACAGTATCCCATGAAGGCTATAGACATATTTAAACCTGCATTTTCTTTTACTGTGTGTATCTGAACACCATCTAAGTGTTTCCGTGAAGAAATGTTAAATGTTTAGAATTCAATGGGAAAGTCTACCTTCATCAGGAAGGTTGCAAAAATGACAAAAAACCAGGCTGTTCTAGGTTGCTTCTCCCTGGAAACAGATCAGGATGCTTGGCAGTAGTAGGCCAATCTAAGGAAATTTTGGAATAGTTTCAAAATGAGGTCAGGATTGGAGTTAATGACAGTGGTCTTTGCCAAATCCCTCTAAGCAACTATTGATAGTGGCCTTGTTACAGAAATACACAAACAAATCCTATTTTTAACAGGGAAGGGTGGAGAAAGTTGAAAGAGATTCCAAGGTCAAAAGTCTGTGATCTTGTTTAAAAGACTACGTCAAGACTCATTACACAACATAACAGGACAGTTACCCAGCTTTACAATTAAACTGGATTAAAGAGTTCAGATGGAAACTTTTATTCAAATCATATGTATTCCAGTCTGCATAATTTTTAACATGCTGACATTCACAAATGGAAGAATTTTTAAAAAGAAATACCAACACATGACATAAAAATCAGTAATCACAACAGTAATCAGTGATGCCGTCTCACAACATACTGCATTAAAGTTTCTGCTGCTTCTCTTTAGAGATTAGGATAACTTAATTTTTTTTTTTTAAAAAAAAAGCAATTTTAAAGACATTTTTTAGTAAGCTGATAATTAAACTGCGGCAAGGATACTACAAAATCAACTCACTTTTTCCACATATTCAAAAACTAAGTATAATTTTCCTCTTCTTCTGAAGGCTTCCTTCAGCTCCACAATGTTCTCCTGTTTCAAAGTGCGAAGCATTTTAAGCTCTCGTAAAGTGGTTTCTTTGACTTCTTCATTTTCTAGAGTGTGAAGTAAAAGTGACAGAGCAAGCTGATTAAAAAACAAAACAAACCCTCCAAGTATAAAGCATTATAAAGATTTATTTTGAACCACTGATTAAATTCTCTGGTTTTAGACATTACAGAGAGAAAAAAAAGCTTATTTTCCAGCGTGGACTCTCTGTTGTTTGCATACTTCTGCATTGGAAGAGAGGTAAATGATGACTGTGCTTATTATACAACCCTCACAGATTTCCCATCACTACCATAAAGGTTTTCTGTGGCTGAGAAAGTCATAAGAAACAAACTGCTTGCATTTCTATATTTTTTTTATTATGAAGGGAACTAATATGCTTCAAAAAAAACATTCATGTGTGTGTACATGCTATACCTCACAAATACACAACACACACATTAACCACTGGGAAGGTTGTCCTCAGCAGAAACACTGGAATGCAAAGCTCATCTCTGAACAATACCAAACAAATGTATTTGATTCTGAAATAATTTTATTTTCCAAAAGCCGTGACAAATTTTAAGACTGAAGATTTTTAAGTTCTGTGTGTTCCCCACATGACTTTCAAAGGAAATTCAGCAACCCCAGACCAGTGTAGCAGCCACAGGAGGCAGCAGAGTAAGTAAGATGCAACAAAGTAAGTTTGATGCAACAAAGTCTTGAATCTAATTCAAAGGAGTCAAGAAATTTAACTGTTTCATTAATTAAATTCAATTTTCATTTAACTGATTTGACAATTTAATTGTCTGAAAGGTGTTCAAGAATGGAGGAGCGCTTCACTAATGCTTCATACACTGCTTATCATTAAGAGGCTCTGAACTAAATAGGTTCTAAAGGATACTAGCAACCATATGTGAAGCAAACCTGACTACATTAGGTTTTATTTTTCATTTAGTAAAATGAAATCCATTAATTCAGTAAATTTGCTCATGCACATAGAAACAGCGTACTTAATCACTTAGAACTGTTATCTACAACAGAGAGTTACTAAACGGGAAATACTTGCATAAATTCAAAACTAAATCACATTTGCAGGTTTTGTACCACAAAGACAGTGACAGAGGAAGAAGAAACAAGAAAGAGAAATTGTTTTCCCAAGGCAAAAGGCCAGAAGATGTTTGCAGGGGAGAGCGAATAACACTGGTCATGCAAATGCACTAATCATCATAGATGAAAATAGGGGAAAATAAAAAATTGAAGTGCAGCAGGAGGGAGAAGGAAAACAAAATACTATAATCACAAATGTTTTGATTAAAAAATATATAATTTAGAGCAATCTAAATCTTTTCATTTTAAAACTGAGTGCTTGATGTTGGCTTGCATCATCCTGATTGCATAATCTCATCTATAAAAAAGACAGTCACTTTCCAGCACATTTAGTATTCATATGTCAAACAACGGCAAAAATTCAGTGAAACAAAAATGTCAATAGAAACAATTACAGTATATTCAAACTTCTAATGAACTACCATATTAACAAGGCAGATGTGAAATGGGCTGAATCAAATCCATCAAAAGAACTTCTGTCATATTTCCAGAAACTCGTAAACAACTAGCTACAAATCAGAAAAGCAGTCATCAGTCATGTAAACTGATATTATGTAATACCCTTGGAAAGCCAGACCTAATGGCAATGCTGTTTTTTTTGTTTTCATTTTTTGGTAGACAAGCTAATACAATAATCCTGTTTAGGGCTTAATACTGAGATTTATTTCCTAGGATCTGTACTGAAAAGCCACAGCAATTTCCAAAAAGCAGTTCTGAGATGCTCTTGTGACCTGGTCAAGATGATCACTACAATTAAACTATCTTCTACATCCTTTACAGGGCTTTAAAAGATTTCTGAATAGCAGAGCTAAAACATTTATCAAATATACTCTTCAAGTGTTTGGGAAAATGATCTGCCAAGCAGAGACTGCACTGTGCAAAACAAGATGCAAATCAGACTTTGTTGTGTCTGACTGACTGAAAAATATAGCCCTTGTTCACGGCCACCAGGAAAAAAATAGGGTAGGATAGCAAAAAAAGAAAGTTTGCTAAAATAAAGTGACTGTTGTTTCTTTAAACAAAATTGCTAACTCTTGGCTAAAGCCTCGGTACACAGCAAACCACAGCAGCACCGCATCCCACCAGGATCACTCCTCTCCCAGCTCACGCTTCTGTTTGTTTGTTTGTGCAGGTCTCTGGGGCTCAGGGCTGACTTTTGATGCACACAAGGCACACAGCTGCTCTCATGGCTGACTGCCAGCGCTGCCTATGAGAGGACATGGTGATTCCCTGAGCCCAACAAGCGTGGGGCAGAGACCCAGCCTTGTCTTGTACAGTCCTTTGGGTTTATTACTGCTGGTGAGGAATGTGTGCGGAGCACTCAGAGTAATTTCTGTGTATCCTGCCTTCCACCACCCTCTTTGCCAGCAACACTAATCCTTGCAGAAATTAGCTCTTCCTCCCTCTCAGCAAACTCAGAAACGCTGCAGAGTACTCGGGGTCTGCTGTGAAGGGGCAAAGAGCAAGTTTCCTGAGGAGACTGAAGCCCACTGAAGTGAGGACAGACTGCTGCCTCACCACCCAGCTCCCTCCATGGATCCTCGAGGGCTGCCAGATTTATCTTCCTGTGACTGAACTTCTCAAGAACTTCTTTCAGTCTCCTCCATTTACAATTTCAAGTTGCCCTGACATTTAGATCCTCTCTCACATATGAAGGGTGATAAAGTCCAAGGACTCTGCAAGTCACTATTACAAGAGGACTTCTTACATTTTCTGGTCACATGCAATCTCCAAATGGTAGACCTTATTACCAGGTACAGCACCACAATCTCATCCATATTAAGACAGATGCATCAAATGTAGTTATCTAAACAGAGTGTATAATGCAGTCTCTAGGAAGGTATGAAACATCAAGTGCCTTGAATATTTACAGAGCTAATAAATCATTATCTTTCTAAAATCATATCTTGCTATATGAGACTTCTCATTTTAACTGAATAGATATTAACAATATAGTTACTGACTATATTGTCAGTAAAGATCATGCAGCGGAAAAGATTACCTTCACTGTCTTTGAATTTCTTGATGGCCACAATTTCATGTGTCTCCTGTAAAACAAAAGCAAAGAAATGGAAATGAGCAAGATTTTTTGTACATTTTCTCTTGCCTTTTTTCCCCTGAGTATCAGACAAAGAAAAAAAGAAGTATCCAAAAGGAATTTAACAATGCAAAAAAAAATTGATTGAAAATCTGGGAAATACCTCAGCGATCAGGCCAAGTGCAATACAAACCCACACGCAGCAGATATGTGTCACAATTAGGATCCCCAGTACAAAAGCAATAGAGTTAAATGCCAAAAGTTCCTATTTCAACACCTTGTAACAGTGAAATAGTCTTATAACAGTGAAATATTCTTATAACAGTGAAATATTCTGAAGTGGTTTTCCTGTGACTCTTGTTTCTTAAGTTATTCTGAAGCTCTAGCAATCTTTTATCTAACCACAGTATGGATATGGGTGCTTATCTTTATGAGGTGAACTGAAAATACTGTGCCAGTATGTGGCTAAGGTTTATAGTTAGACCTGTGATTTTGGCTGCCAAAAGCTTTTGGGCTTCAAAGTTCAAACATCCACAAAGAATACAGTATAAGGAAAGTAGCTTCTCTGTGCCTCCTTTTAAAAATTTGTCACCTTAAGGGAAACTTATCCAAAATGGACATCAGTAACTGCATGTGGCAGTGTACAACCATGCTTACTGTACAGTCATAAGGGATAACTTACTAATGTCCACCTGCCTGTGCATTCCTCTAGCACTCTCTACTCTCCAAATCATAGGTCACATTTTTCTCTTAAGTTTCTCGCGTTGTCTGAGCAGGAATGCATTTAGCACATGGACAAAAGGTAGCCAACAGATGTAGCCCAGTTCAGGCCTGTTCATTCAAGGATGCAGACAGTGAACTTCAGCAGCAGAGCAAACCTTAAAGTCATGGGGTAAGGGCTTGTGAACAGACAGGCAGGAGGCTACCTGAGTACTTGTTGAGCTAGATCTACCTTACACACCTTTACCAAACATCACAGTTTTAAAAAAAAACAAACAGCAATATTCCACTATTTATAGCATACAAAGGCCAGATTGGAGGACAGCAATAAAAATGAAGCCATTCTAGAATACCTGAAGACATGTGCATAACCAGTTATTGAGTAACACAACCATTTATTCCATTTTTCATTTCAAATCATTGTAACACATGAACCTGTAAAATACCTGATCCCAATTAAAATAAAAGCACCTAGAAAGAATGGTCTGAAATAAACCAAAAAACCCTATTTTACTAATTATATTTCTACTACTGAGTTATAGTATTTTTATATTTATTAATTCTAATTCTAGCAATAGTAGCAATAGTTACTAGGACTATGAAGGAACATTAAGAGGTTGAGTAAATTTAGTTTATTTGACTTTTGGTATCTACTGGTAGGTGGTCTGGCTAATTAAGCCACTGAAAGGTTTTTCAGAAAAGGAACACTGTAAGGAACAATGTAAGGGAACACTGCCCTAAAAAGCCTCTGCTGACTGTATTATGCCTATGCTTAGACAGCCTCCATACACCACTTTACAGATGAACCAAATTTATCCATTACTATTACATGCCTATTTCACATGAGGTAAAAGAAAAATTTCTAGATGTTTCAGCTACCACAAAAAGGCTGTGTTTTATTGTCAAAGTAATAGCTAAGTACACTGAAAGAAATATAGGAGTTGAAACATGTATCTTCACGCAGACAGCAATTCTGATTCATTCAAGAAAACTAGTCCACACGGCTTCTCTGCCATATCCTGATTACACTGGATGTGATTACTTTGGAAATTAAGTTTTAAAATCTCTTGAGTCAAGGTCTTTCAAAGACTTGGGTAAGATATGCTATCAAACATCCTGGAGGATTCTAACTATACACAGTACTTAAAGCATGAGTGATTCTAGGAATAAAAGGAACAGAAAATCCTCAGAAACAGGGATGAGAAAATTACCTGAAGAGTTCAAAAAAATCTAACATTTAAGAAATTTTCATTTACACAGCTTTGTGACTTCTATTATTTCATTAAACCAGTGAAATGATAATGAATGGTGTCATAAGCACTTAAGAAGTTATACATGACACTTTCCCTATCTTTAAAAAAAACCCCAACAAATAATATTTAAATAACCTGAAGTGAAACAACAGCAGAATGAGACTAGACAGTATGTGCTTTAAGGAGCTGGTCTAGTAACATCATGTTCCATCTCAGCAAGAAACATTCTTGTCTAGGTTTCTCAGAGAATTTCATCCTATGCATGTTATATTCTCTAGGAATGCGCTACTGGTGAAGCAGCCAAGCCAAAGGCACTGAAGATTACTATGCACAGATTTTAAATACATTTCACCTGCTTTACAAAAAGTCTGTAACTTCCCTATGAAGCAGAACACCTCCAAAAGGGGTGTTCCATCTGACAGAAGAGAAAACTGCAGCCAAGTGCACATTTCTCAACTCTTGCTCACATGCTTTAAAATAACTAAATGGTTTATATGAAGTGACATAAAAAATAGGCACCTCTCATAATTTTAAACTAGTTTCAAATGAAAGAACCTATGTGAAATGCCCTGTTCCTCTATTTTCATTACTTCTACTAATTTTGAACTAGATGTCCGGTTTCCACCAAATTTTAAGAAAGAAATGCAAGACATAAAAAGAGGAAATTTTAAAAAAATTGTCTCAAATTTATCATCTGTATACAGAATATTCTTCCTTGGGGAAGGAACCAGCAAGAACTCAGTCTCCTGTACCCTGTATGATGTTGCAAGTCAGCAGCACATGTAGACTGTGCAAAGCAATCAGCAATTGCAGATAACTTTCATTAACATAAGCTAATACAGAATTGAAAACATGGAATAAATTTTGTATATGGATGAATACAGTGGGCATATAATAGAGGTGGTAAAAATACCCCTTCTGGATTAGGAGAGACTTGCTGGTCAGACAGAGGCCAAACCTGAAATTTCAAACAAATACTGACGGGCACTTGGTGTAAAGCAAGCAGACACCACATTGCTGAGCCCTGAGAAGATGGACAGAACAGGGGATACAAAGAAAAGCAGAGGAATTAAGAGAAATTAAGAAATTCAATAGTGATAATTCAGACTTCTGGGAAAATCTGAAAGGTTCTTTACAGATTGCATTTAGACTTTGTCACTTAAGCATCTATTTAAAAGACATTTTGGAGATCTGAGCTCTTTTGTAAATCTGGTTTTCCGCTCTTCTAAAACAGGCTAAATTGGAATTCTCCCAAATAGAACTGTCATTCACTAAAATGTATTTTTTTGCATTTCAAGGGGTGTTTTTTCAAGACTGTACTATGAAACAGGACAGTACTGAAAACAATGTTCAGACTGATTGTGGAAACCTACTTATAGGACAGCTCAGAATCCAACTCCTAGCATGAAAATCTTCATTGACAATTAAAGGCATCACCTAGGTAGATAAGCTGGTACTAGTTGATTCAGTGCTTGCCTTCAGCGAATGTCAAAAAAAGAAAAAACTCACATAACCCTTTCTGATCTCTACTACTTACTACTACCAGTTTATATCACGAAGTAGGAAAATTTGAGTTTCCTTAGCTGTACTCTCAGCTACATCTATTACTAAGCACCTCATTACCATGTTCTAACAAAGAAATTCTGGCCTCAATATTTGACTTTACAACAAAAGCAAATTTGCAAACACAGAAGTCGAATCTCTCTTAACACTGGCATTACCTCTGATTATTGAGCATGTATATTACAAACACCTTGTGTTATAAAACTACAGGAAGAACACAGTTTTACAATTAAACATACAACAATAGATGAATATTACTGAAAAGACTTCGTGTAAAAGTTAAGGATGTACAGGGACTGGTTATTCAGACTACATGATTACATGTGTCTAAAATGGGGCAAAATATGTCTCTTCATGTACAAACCTGCAAATGTATTTTAATGAGGCTAAGACAAAAATTTCTGTTTAATTTCCTTCACATATAAATATAGTGATAGAGAGGAGATACCTGCTCATGGGAAAATTCCTGGAGAGAGGAATCACTTCATATTGGGGCTCAGTCCTGTCCTATACCTCGAAATATCTGTGGGAATTGCCTCTGGAGAAAACACATGCCTTACCAAGTGCCCATTGAACCACAGAGGAGAGCAGGACTATGAGAGCTGAGCATTTTCACTGCTGTGCTCCTTGCCACCCCCAAGTTTCTCTCCGAGGTTTCCTCACAAGATTGTCATAGCTGCTGTTTCCTGTCACCACTATCAAACCAGAGGAGTTCCTAATTCAAAACCATTTAATTTTATCTCATTTAAAGGACAGAGGTCCTCTATTTTTCCACTGTCTCTACAAAATTTATATGACAGAAGTCACTTTCATTTTATGTAACTATATATAGCACAAAACACAAGTGTCAGAACAGCAGAGTGATGTATCTCTGTTGTTTTCTTGAGAGATCCTTGATGGGAGTACTCAAGGAAAAAGATGCTGCTTAGCATAAATCAAGATCTTAAAACTACAACCATTATTGTCTGGAAAGAGAAAGCATATCCTAGTCTTGAAAATGTCATGTTACAAAAAAATCTTTTTAAATGTTTGTCCCTATTTTATTTCAAAGTTTCTGTTAGTTTCCTTTTTCTTTTGCAAATCATGGAAAATCTGACACAAAGCACAGGTACACAACAAGATTGCTGAAAAATAGGTAAGACTGACCTTCTGAAAGTGGCATTGTTCACCTCTAATTTTACTGCCTCACCCTGTACAAGAATTTCTCAAGCATGGAATTTTTAAGCAACTGAAAGAACAAATGTTTATAAGTATCAACAAATGTGAGCAGAGACAGCAGCAGTCAACGCTGAGCACATCCCATGCACAAGCAGCATATTGCTGCCTTTACTCAGGTGGTGCTGCTCAAGCACTATTTAGTACATCACATCAGGGTTTTACACTGATGTATTAAGTGAAACAATAAAATATGATATGGCATGTTCTGTGGTTGGCTCATCATTTTCATCTGTACAAGTGTGAGGCTGTTTAGGCC